CACATCTACCCCAAACCCCACATTATGGTGGTCCAGATCCTCGTCAAAAGCAAAACATACCAAATATTGCTATAGCAGAGCCACCATTTCCACGGGGATTGGTAAATTTTCCACAAGAACAAGCGAAACCAAACATGCTTANCCCGCCGCAGGGCTACCCTACCACCTCGCACATGGTGTTGAGGCATTTAAGCAACACCAACAACCACTCGAACAGTATGTCCATCACCAACCACCACAGTTGCATGGCGGTCATAATCCACAAACAATACCACATCTACCCCAAACAACACATTATGGTGGTCCAGATCCTCGTCAAAAGCAAAATATTGCTATAGCAGAGCCACCATTTCCACGGGGATTGGTAAATTTTCCACAAGAACAAGCGAAACCAAACATGCTTATGCAGCAATTGCCTCAGACATGCAATAACAAATCACCAGGGGAAATTTCCCCATCAGAATTGAATTTACCCTCTCTGTCAATTCCAGCTGGTGACCATGGGCAGTCAGATAGCACTTCAATCATCACACCCGAACCAATATCTGGCTTACCTAATGCAATGGCACAATCAACGCAACTAATGCTAGAACAACAGAACTCAGCTGAGGTCAGCATCCCACCACCACAAAACAATCTTGAGCAATTAAGCTTGTCGGAATCTGCCGATCCGTTACCTTCAGGGGGCACCAAAGACCACATTCACCCGCTCCCAATAGATCCTATGCGAGTTTTACACAATGTATCCAACGTGCCATCAGTTACACCTGAAGGCCATATGGGAAAATCTGTTCTAAACCCAGAGCATCACCCACAGGAAGTTGCACAGTCATTTATTATAGCACCACTACGTGTTTCGCATTCTTCCGCTGTGTCTGAGACGGCATCAGCACCAAAAAACCAAGATTATGAGGCGTATCCAATTGTTGAAACACCATCTCAACTAGAAATTTCACAACAACAGCGACACTTTCAAGAAGAGCTACATGCGCAGCACCATCGATTCCCACAGCTTTCATCGCCACCACTACAACAACAGCAGCAGCAGCTCCCACACCCCTACGCCCTATATGCTGTATCTCAGCACTATGGCAGACCAGATCTTTCTCAGCCACTCTGTACAGCTGCACCGCAAACAAACATGACTGTTGCATATGGTTGTGGTGCTGCTGCCAGGTGGACCGAGACAGCAGGGCAACACAATGTCTTTGTTCAAAATGTAGGCCGGCTTGAAATTCATCAAAATGGAGATCGGGAGTTGATGGGTGCTGCACCACCAGCTCATGTCCATGTTTTGCAACGGTATCTGCCTTTGGGGTCAAAAGGACACTTGGATCGTTTTCTTAAGATCCCACAGGTGTGGGAGACTATTATATGTCAACTCCACCTACGGAATGCTGGTTGTCCTAAAGAACCTGTCGAATTTGTCTTTTGCCATTTACAGGGCTCCTTTCAGCTACTTATATGGCTGTTGCGGAAAATTGGCGAGGGAGTAAAGAAAATCGTTGAACAACCTGAAATAGAAGTCCTGATTGATGAAGTTAGAGTAAGTTTCCTCTCACTCATAAAATAATGTTAATTTTATGGGGGTAGGGTAATACGTAAACATGTAAGTTGTTAGGTAAGAAGCAAAAAGAAACTTTTTGTTACCTTAAGCAGGGATATATTTTCACTATAACAAAGAACACTTTTATTTTCAAAATATTTTTTGCATGTGCTTGACAATGGAAAATAAAGGTGATATACACCATGCTTTTTAGTGCCCTTTTATTTACTTTTCAGAAAGCAAGGATTCGTGAGGTTGAATGTGAAAATCTGCGCAAAAACCTGTCCTACATAGCTGATGAAGGGTTTAATATGAGGAGATTGTTAGATTTCCTTTTTTCAAAGGGCATCATCAGTGATTCAGATATGGATAAAATTAAATGCCAGCAAGCATCATCAGAGAAGTGCAGTCTACTATTACATAAGATATTGAAGTGCTCAGTGGATAAGGATCCCGTGGGGCACCTGCGGCAGTGGTTTGTTGACGAGGACCGACGTGATCTGGCAGATCTGCTGGTAGTGAACCCTGAGGATATACAGGGATCGTATGACCCAGATGATGCCCTAAGACCTGATGAATACCAGGATGGACATCTCGCACTCAGACAAAATTGAGAAGTCCTGTAGAGCTAACCGTGCATCTCTCACCATATGTGGCATTTCACTTTCTTCGGCTACAGATGAAAAACTTCCAGATTTTTTTCATCTGCAAATCTGAATATTTTGATGCCGTGGAGCTGTACTCATGCCCTTTATACCCCGGTATAAGGCTAAAGGTACTTGGTGTTTGCATTTTTCAGGATTTTTAAAGGTCCACTTTAATCTCTGTTGAGCAGAGTTTTGAAAAAATATATGATATAACATTATTATTATTATTATTATTATTATTATTATTATTATTATTACTACAGCGTCTTTATGTGAAAGCTCTAATTTCGTCAACCAAAATAATTGATAAACTTAGTTTTGACAATGCCCCCATCTAGTGGCTGCACAAAGGCAGACAAGAAGCAGTCAAAATTCAGGAAAACTTCATCAGCTTTGTTGTATTATGTCATTTCAGGTTTTTATAGATGTCCACATTATGAAAATGATAACATGTAAAGTGTGTGGAGTTGTGACTTAAATATTTGTACAGATATCTGTACTATGCGATGTATATTCTTTACAATTTATGGAGTGATTTCGTGTATTCATAGATAAATCTACACATACTCGGAAGTACTCTTTTCTCTGTGGTTACTATATGCAGTCAGCTACCAAACCCTTTGTTGATTTATTTTAAGATAATACTGCTTCAGTGAGTTTTTGTAAACAGCATATAACTGGTTAAAGTAACCGTTATATAGTTTCTATAAAAAGATATTAATTGTTTTATCGAAGCATGTATTTATAAAGAGAAATCTGGATTTTAGCTCAAATAATATTTTAATAGTGAGTTTTGTATTTGCATCGTATATGAAAATTCATTAATAAATTTGGACAAATACATTGTGTCGATCACGACTTGATGATTGAAAAGTGGAAATAATTCGACTGCAATCCCGTTGGTGTGCGTGTTCCAAAAGCTAGTCTGCTACCTGTAGACTTGGCAAGTATGTATTGAACAAAGTGATCAAAGCAAGTACCCTAGCTTCATAATCCCTTATATCGTCTCAAACCATTTCCATAATCTCGAGTTCAGTTTCTGTTTAAACATTTGATTAAAAGAATGTTAAATAATAAATATTGAATACTAACACCTCGTGTGGTCCGTTATTTCATGTAATAATGGCAGGTATGGCAGCGGCGGTTTCACAATGGGCATATGCATTGTTTATCCCAGGAAGCAATGCAAAAGAGGTGGACATCTCACCTGCGGGAAGTTGGCCTATACCAGTAGTTAATACTGGGACCGAAATCATAAACCGATTTCATCATCTATTTTAAGACCGCCGTTTTTCATCTTGATTCGTCATCACAATGTTAAGTACAGTAGATGTGTGGGTGGATTAAAATTCACTTCCCAGGCTTCTAAAGACAACAAGCTTGAGGAGTGAATTTTAATTCATCCATCTTGTGCTTGCAAAAAAGGGCAGTTTTGATAAAGTTGATTTTATGATACCTTATTCAATACACACAATACAATAAACAACTCCAGTACATAAAAATTCTTAAAAACAAATCAGCGTTGCACAGGGACTACCACGCATTACTGCATTGAGATTAAAGTGGATTTTAACTACCCTTCCCCACAACACTCAATTTGTCCACTGTCCACTGTCAACCCCCATTTTATACTGAACAGTGCTCTCCGCAGTGCAAGATTTTCGGTCCACGATTCTTGTAAGTGGTATTGAATCCATACTGGATCTCTGTTGTTAGTTTTTAGCATTAACATAAAAAACAGTCGGTAAAAAATGATCGTAATTTTTCTGAAAGGTAGGATAGGGAATATTATTGCCATGCATATACCCCGTTTACATTACTGCAATATTACCGAGAAATAGTCACGATTCGAATAGTTGCTACAGTGTGGCATGAGGAATTCTGATTACCATGCAATTTGTAAAAATCCTGCTGGCAAAAGACCCCTGGTTAGGGCGCACGTGTGCGCTCAAGAGTATATGAGTGCCGAAAGTGCCGAGTTAAACTTGATATTATGATTTAAAAACAATCGAAAGAACAAACAAACAAACGATTAAACAAACAGACAAAAACAAACAACCCCCCCCCCCAAAAAAAAAAAAAAAAAAAAAAAAAAAAAGAAAGAAAAAGAGCTAGTAATTGGNAAAAAAAAAAAAAAAAAAAAACGCACAGTTCGAAAAGCTATACAGCTATACATATTTTATGTATGCATATGTTTTTCTGTGCAGCGCATGCGCAATTGCTCAAACAGGAAACTGCACCTGTGGCATACGGTTAATTAAACTTTGCTGTGTGTGTACGGGAAAGCGAATCGATTTTTAACATAAATTTTGAAAAGGATAAAGGCCTACTCGGATTTTTTCAGATGGTAGTGTAAATGGGATATCATATACTTTGAGAGCTATTACTACATGTAGCTCAAGGTTGTCGAAGACTGATGGTCAACCACAAAGCAGCTTTGATATCGTGGTGTGCCTTCTTTTTGTACTTTGTCTCATTTTTACCGCTGCTATTGTATTTACCGCTGCTATTGTATTTAACTCAAACAATCTGCGACCTACATATTCACAATGACATAACATTTCGTTATACGCGACAGAAGCTAAATGCAAAGAAAAAGAAAATACATAGAAACACCCTTTGTCGGACTGGGTCTTTAAACACATTCTGTTTGCATAACGTGTCCCGCTTAGAGCAAAACATACTTTTTTCTGTGTGTTTTGCCAGGGTAAATCATACGCTTGCTATTCAATCTACTTCTTTGTCGTGAGATGTTTGTGTTTAGTATTTTCAGCTTTTATTAACCTTCCCCGGTACCTGTCGATTTTCAATTGCAGTGACGAGAAATTGCGCAGTCACTGGAGAGGTCTAACAGTCCCAGTGGGGCAAATTTAGGGGGACAAGAAATTAGATTATGATCATCTGAGGTTTAATCAAAACAGTGTAAACTTCTGGTGAGTTTATCAAGGGAAGTTCTACATTAATTTGACCATATAAGCTGAATTAGACAGCACCTGATGTCGTGTTTGTTTGTTTTAATGGCGTCGTGTAGCTGTGATTGGGTGTGATCGATTATCCGTCGTCTTCCAACGGTAGCATTAGTGATAACATATGTTTTTTGACATTTATTTTGGACATCCAAAATTAAAAAACAAATACATATATGTAAATGCAGTATACATTCTACACGTACACACACACACACACACTCTCACTCTGTGATCGATGACATATTTGTTAAATAGGCAAACGGTTAAAACAAGAGTGACATGACAGATAAAACCAGTTTTAATAATGATATATGCGCTGCTTGCACATGCATATACAAGTATATTGTACATGTACAGATTTCCCAGACAGCAAGATGACATCGGCATGAAGTTGTCCCAACGCCAGCTTGGTTAAAGGACTACTGTTGGCCCAACGTCTTGAAGTCAATCGCCGGCATAAGGGCAACGTATGGTTGCTCATCGGCTCGACATAAGCTATACCGTAGGCACAATTTCAGTAAGTCAACTAGCCATGTTTGGCCAACGTCATTTGTCCAACCATTTCCCCGACATTGGGCCAACTTCATGCCAGCGTGAGATGATGTCAATAGCTACACTTGGGGCAATGATGGTTGTTTTATTGATTACTACAAAAATCAATTGTTCTATATATATAGTAGGCATGGCAATGACTTTTTAGTTACAATTTCCCATCTGATTCAATACAAGTTAAACGTTTACATTAATAACAACATAATTAGTGGAAGTTCTTTCAGAGTTAAGAAAATACTCGTATACATGTACAGTACATGTCCAAGTACAGCATTTAGGACACATTTGATATATTTAATTGCATGATTACCTATTTTATTCATGTAAGGGATAGTGACAAAGTGCTTCGTCCCATTGACAAACTTTTTTTCTTATTTCAAACAGCCCAAGGCCTCTTAACATTTGCCACAGTAAGCCCATGGTGTGTTGGAAATTCAAACTAATTTAGTCACTCTGAAATAGTGTCCGGAAAGATGGGGACAGGTGCTAGCATCGTCGCTGGAGAGGTCCTTAAAGAAACAGTACGTATCCTTGCGGTGCCAGACAAATCGCCGAGGCAGTCACAAAAAGACCAAAGACAGAAAGCAATCCGCCAGAGAGAGCTAGACATGTTTCGCGATAGATGCCTGCAGTTCGCCGAGTTTTTGAAACGTGTGCGTGCCACAAACTACGAACAGAGGAGGAAGGAAATACATGATGGGATTTTGTACCACCTTCGGAAGCCTTATGGTTGTTTTAGAAACCGAGAGCAGAGACTTATTTTAGGAGATGATGTAACTGAGCTCGGGCTGGTCTCCTTGTTGGTGGACTATTACAAGGCTTCATTGGACTTTTTTGATATTAAGGCAGTGACATACTATGAAGATGGCACAGAGTGGACCACCGAACTGAGCAATTTGCGGTCTTTCTTCTGGGACTACAGTGATGCCAGTCCACAATTTGCTGAGCAACTCGCGCGCTCTGGTTACTTGGAGCTTATGATGAAGGACCTAGACGCCGTACAGCTTGGGATACAAAACAACACATTGCAAGAAAATGTACGTTACTGTGTTCAAAACGCCATTCTTTTGAATGTTTCGTGGTTTTTAAGACTTGATAAACTATTCTTTGTTTCATGATCATTCATAAAACATTTAATGACTCCCTACGTCAGTATTTTAATCGAACTTAGACATCCTGGAAATATTTGTGATGAAATACATATTAATAATGAAAGGCAAACGTTTTATTTTCGGCGAAAAAATTAATTTGTATTTTGATTAAATGAAATATCAACACGCCAAGAAATAAATAAACATGAAGCGTTTGAATTCTTGTTTTATAGAACAAAGGGACATTAGGAGCCGTACAAACAGCCATAGCTCCAGTGTACAACTGTTCAAAACTCGACGCTATAAAAGACATTTTCCAGGAAATTGACGTCTTGGAGAGAATCGAACCTTACTTACAGTCAACTGATGAGAGTAAGTATTCGATGTTATATCTTGATGTCTGATTTAAATAACACTATATCAGTATATTTCTATAATTGTGAAACTAAACTCGGGGAAAAGTGAAACATGTTTATTGTGGTAACTCAACAATGGTAGATAAGTCCTTCAGCCACGGTTGTGCTAACTTGCGCGTTCCTTGTTTCAAAAAGTGCAGGAACACCTACTTTTACATCATGAGCTGAGCACGTTTATTTCAGAGATAAAAGCAGAAGCGACCTTAATCAAATGTTACATCACAGACGAACAACAAAACGATTTGTTGACAACAGACGAAACCGTATTCACGTTTCTCATTAACGGACTAGAGAAAGCGCTGGAAGCGGAGAAAAGAAGATTTCGAGGGTTGTCAACATCTGAACTGGCTGAAGCATTGGGGGTACTCGCTAGACACGAGAATGATAAAGTAGCTTTAGTGCAGCACGGCGCTATACCACTTCTTGCTACTATGCTTATGTCAACTGATGAAGAAGATGTAAAACAATCAGCAAAAACGCTGTGGAAACTTTCCCTTGATCAAGAAAACAAAGCAAAAATAAAGGTAATTCCCACAGTTTTTGATTGTAATAAACGGGATATTTTTGGCATCAAACTATTGCAGAGTTTCGTGATTATGAGTATTGTTTGGCGCTTATTCCCCATATGTATATTGCATAAGTTGCATATGAGCATCGTAATAAAAATGACGTTTGTAAACCCACAAAGCCGAACGAATGAAATGAATTTCAAAACCAATTTTGAAAATCTGAAAACGTGGTAGGTTACAGTGTTTTGAATATTCCTATGGAATAGCCATTGGGAAGCTCGTCATTTGAGCATAACTATGCAGTCTTGCTCCTACAAAGATATGTTATATTTGGCTATTATCCAAAACTTAATGCTCTATTGTTGGGAAATGGCTTTCAACACTTTTCAACACGCCTACTGTTTAAGTTGAATAACGGGGAAAACCAATGGCAATAGATTTTTCAAATATAATTTGGTGTCTATTTTAGGATGTTGGAAATTGCATAGACATGCTTCAAAAACTTTCCCATCACTCCAGTCATGAGATAAAGAACACCGCGACAAGAGTTTTGTGGACGCTGGAACAGAACCAAGGACAAGGTGAAGGTAGGTCGCATAAATAACGGCACATAGTGTACCTGTAGGGTTCAGTTAAGCCTCGCTTTAATAAACGCGTTTATAGCGTATAAATTATTCATATTTCAGCCACCAGGATAATCACACAGAATGACATCGACATTTTGAGTCAGCACTTAGGTAAGCACTGGAAGCGATTAGCAAGGAAACTGGACATTCCTGACGGTGAAATAGATATCATAACCCATGACAATTATGTGTTTGGACTTAGGGAGATGATACGCCAAATGTTAAACAGTTGGAAGAACAGAGAGTCCACAAAAGCCACAGCTAAAGCTTTGGCTGAGGCACTATGTGAAATAGGAGAAGCCGACATTGCTGCTATGCTGCCATTATAGAGCCGTATACGGCACCACAGTAATCGCGAGGGAGAATCATATTTGACTTATCTTGAATACTTACAATTATTTGCCATATCAAATGTACAGATACATCAACATTTCAAAGTTATGTTTTCAGAGTTGATGCTGTTATTTCTACATCTTAAAATGTATCAGTGAGGACTAGGGTTGCGGAAGATTTTCATTGTCTAAACTCAGATATTACTACCAGAGGAATATTTTTTATGGTTGTTCTTTTTTTTCACTGAGCATTTAATAAGAGGAGATTTTACGATAGGCCTATAGGAGCTTATTAGATCCATTTATGCTAGAAGTGATGTACGAAAGGGCGGGTCCAATTCTAAGCTAGCGCCTAATCATTCAGCTGTGTAAGGAAATTAAGGGTATGTTTATCTACCCTGCAAGTATTTTGTGTTATAAAATTGCAATATTATTATATTGTAAGTTACATACTGGGTACATAGCATATTACACCATGGATATCTGTACAGAGAAGCTCCTGACTTTATAAAACCCTACCACAGCTACGGCAGAGAGGACACAGTGATTATCTCCAGCACCTTGTTCTAAAAAAGATTTGCCCGTTAAGTCTGAATCAAATACTGTGAAATAGGCACAATGTATATGATAGGTATGCATGCTGCTTTGAATTTTCAAAATCCCTACATCAAACGAAGTACTTAACATGAAATTTAATAAAGAGTTCACAAAGGTGACATTTTACAAATTTCATGACATTTAAAGTGGGTTGCAATTGGTAGTAACTCACATTCTCTCTGCATGGATATGATACATATACAGTTCTTGCCTCTCAGGTGTATGTTATGTAGTATTCACAGTTGCAAAAGCCACATACAACGCGGTGTCTTGTGCCAGTGACTATAAGTGAACTCACCGTTCATTTCATGTATGGTATAGATGACAACAAAATGGGTATACCATGTAGGTGATAAGGTGTTCATGAATTCATACTCAGTATGCACACTATGTGCTCGTTTTATGATTTGAGTTTTGATACATGTAGCTACCTGTATACTCATTTTATTAAATGACTTTCAAACAGCCGTTATATTGTATAAGAGCAACTACGTATCCACTTACATGTATATCCTGTTAATATCCTTACATCTAATTTTGATTTTATATGAATGAGAGCTGTATGTTACTGGTAAATGTAAGAGTGGCATTTTTGGCTTCTTTTAATTCCACTTTTGCTGGGATAATTTGATCTGAATATATCACAGTTTACGCTGGTAGCAAATATGGCAAAATGTATAAGATAAAATACATATATAGATGTGCAAATGCGACTAAATACCTTGAAATAAATTTATTTGAATTTGCCCTTTTTTCTATCTGTCCTTCGACATTTGTTTAGTCGTTGAGTGATGAAGACGTTTCTATAATATCCAAATCGCATATTTACTTGCTGAAATGGAGGAATCACACTACAGTCTTTTGAAGCTGTAAATTTTTTAAAATTACTGTTCGGCATTTTCATCCATTCAATGGCCTGTGTCATGATAACTGGTCAGATGTCTGTTCTTACTCTGTTTTTTTACTAAGGGAGTACGCGTTGCCTCTAACCAATGTGATTTTTTTTCTTCTGTGGTGGACAATATGGCATTCGCAAACCGCAAAAAATATTCTCATTGGCAGTTTTCCGGGATTTTAAACTTAAAATGTTTTTCTATCAACAATTTTTAAGATATTTCCCACAATTGGCACAATTCTCAACGTCATCATCGGCGTCTCACCTTCGTGTCATTTTCGCTAATGCCGTAAGTATGGGTACATAATTTCCGAACGCTGCACAAGGAACAAGGACGATAGCACTCAAGATTAGAATGAAAGAATTTTTTCTTTGGGAAATGACAGGCACTTTGTAAAATATCCAAAGAGTAAAAAAAAAAAAATAATAATAATAAAATAAAATAAAAAAAAATAAAAAAAAACGCAGTTAACTTGTTTATAGTAAACAGACAAGCTTAAGTTATTTGACTGGTGATAAATAAAACGTTTATATAGAAAATTAAATACTCCACAATGGGAATTTACAGCCATTTAGTTGAAAAGAATATACGGTATTACATTCGTTATAATATCATAGTGATAACGAAGTAGAGTTGCAATTTTCAAGCATTTATTCACCACCGACTGGTTTTTCGTTCAACCTCAAGAGTGTTTATACTCCATTTCCACACCAATTAATCATTTTAGTTATAGTAGGTTTAGTCCATTCAGGAATCTATTACCTTTACCTTTACATGTGTATTACAATGTTTATTGCTCTTTTTTGTAAATGGTAAGCTACAACAATTGAATAAAATCAATTAAATTAATTATTATTATTATTATATTAATAATAAAAATAATACATAAATAAATGAAACGGGTTACATTGATAGTTAAAAGGATAAGATGCTCCAATCATGACCCAGACAGTGAAAGCATTATAAAAATAGTTACAAGGGAATATTTCTTTTTTTTTTTCATTTTTCATTTCAAAACAGACGTAGGTGATGGCTATTTGTGTAAAAATGTGGTCAGCACTTGAATATGGGGTATATGTTTGATATATTATAGATAGTCTTAAAATCATAACTTAATTAAGGTATTTTGGCGAGTACAGTGGTCCTGATCAAGGTCCCACATACAGGACAACGTCTAGGAGCAGGCTCACACTGTGCACAGGAAACCAAGTGACCACACGGTAGAAATACCATGCTGACTTCCTCGATGTTGCAGAACTTACACGTCATCTGTGCTCTCAGACGCTGGTTCTCCGCTCTGAGAGCACGGAGAAATGTGACTCCTGGAATGTAAAAATGTGATCAATAACTGTTTGACGCATTCTATCATATACTTTCCTAAGTTATGAAAGTACATGAATAACTTAATGAACACATTCGTCATATAAGTTACACTCTCTATGTTACTGATTGTATCAAGCATAAACATCAATATTTTTGAAGGATCTTTACTGATTGTCGACAGGGGGCACTGCAGTCTGTTACGTACTTTCAGCCCTTTCACTGACAGTAAGTGTGGACTCTGTATTTTTTTCCTTCTTCTCATCCCATTGGTTTTCCTCTTTAGCTACACAAATAAAAAAGTATTAAAGTAAAGAATAAAAAGACCTAGTGTATAGTTAAACAAATATATCAAGTTAACTGTTGCGGATTTACCATGAAATGAAAGCAACCACATGTAGGTCTAAGAAGTGACGTCTATAATAACCCTATACAATGGTTTATTAGATAGTCATGGGATTAACTATAAACAGTCATAGGGTTACATGTAATTAGAGTCACAGAGTAAATAAAAACCTCACGGTCAAATAATTGTGCATCTTTTACGCAGAAAAAAATTTAAGCCCCCTTCACACTTATTCGGAATCGGCAGTAATCAAGCAGAATGAGCCGGAATGAAGATTTTTTTTTCAAAATTGTGTGACTAGGGTATAACATATGAAATTGAATAATGCCCACCAATCGACAATATTAAAATTAAACAATATAAGCATGTTATAGTCATATTTGGAGAAGCGCAAGTGGTAGACTCAACATGTAAGTTTTCTCTACGAAACATCCCTTACGAAAAAGTCCCATGGGGTCCTATAAGATTCTATGGGATCCTATAGGAAATTGGCCCAATTTCCTAAAGGATCCTATAGGACTTTTTCGTTAGGGATAGCTGGTTAAAAATAAATAATCACTTTGATGATCGCTGATGAAAATTAACAAAAAGGCATAACTGTCCGATTTAGCACCAGTACTTCAGCAGCTGTTGAACTTGTATCTCACTGCAGTATGCATGTACATGTATTTTCCAGTAGACAGGGCGTTGTATGTGTCAAAGAAGACTACGAAAGAACTTTTATAGTTACTTTTTTAATTCATGCTTGGCTTAATCAAAAGATGGGGTAAAGTCAAGTTCCTGTAAACAATTGACAGTACTTCAGTTATTGTAACCTTTCAACTTAACCTCCCTATATCCTACAATGATCATGTGTCTATTAGCCATCGTGTCGATAACACGCTGATAGAACATATGCTTTATCGATCGACGTTTTATACCGGTAGGTCACGCTGGGCTTTTTCAAAAGGAAAGGGTTCATGCGTCATCTGCACATATTGCCCCGGGTGTTGAACAAATAAGAAATTTAAGAAATAAGAAATTAAAGGCAGTATATTACGGGCAGTATACGTGCACCGTACGGGCATCGCATTTCAAATGTAATCTAGGCTATACCCGGTACTGGGTATTTAAGGGTTGGATGTTGTTATAAATACAATATTGATAGCTGGGTGTACATGTACTAGCATCAAGCATATTATGTTAGTGTTAATATAGCAAACAAATGGTTAGAATAAATAGTCAAGTCTAGGAGCAGCACAAAACTAAAAAAAACCCACCAAAGTAATTCTAAAAGTGCGAATAGAAAAAAAATGAAATAAAAAAATAGCCACGGAAATAACGTGTACACGTACATATGAGCACAGTGGCCAATTTTTGGTGACTTTAAAATCAACGCAAAGAAGGATGCTGTTGTTAAAATACGAACTAACGATTGTGGCCCAGTGACGGATTGTAGGAACACCAGCACTATAAGCACGGAATGGTAAAGGGGTGTATTAGGTTCGTTTGTATATTTCTCTATTTACTCAATTTTATTTTGTCATATCAAATATTTTATTAAAGGAACGGCGTTTTTCTGTTAGAATTCCAACCGTCTTCACGAAATATAGCTGGTTAAAAAAAAAAAAAAATGACTTTGATGGTCGATGATGAAAATTAACAAACGCATGGAAGTTAATTAAATATGCAGTGACAGCACGGTTATGTAAACTGATGAAGACAATGAGTAAAATACGCGAGAAAGCAAGAGTCAGGTACTTACTGGCGCTCTCACAAGCTGCAGAACTTCCTGCTGACCCACTACCAGTGTCCGATGCTGTCGCCTCGCTGTGACTGGCATTAAATTGTCCATTACCCACCCCATTCCCGGGATTCAATGGACGCTCCGGCAACTGGTGACGGACTTCCTGCATAGGCAGATCACCTACGGGTGAAGAAAAACAAATGATGCCATATAATGTTGTATCATACTTCGATTTATTTCGCTCCAAAAAAGAGGTCCTGATAATAAATCATTTTTGTGGCAAAATTAGGTTATGTACCGATAGAGCACGTGTTGTCATATAATGAATTTCTAGAAAACCGTGCCAAGAACCTACATTTTGAAGGTCATTCTGGGCGAATGTATCAAGAGGGACTCGATCGGCTTAATCTGAACAAATTGAGGTCGGGTATAATACAAAGAAGAAAGCTCATGAATGCAATTATATAGCAAGACTTGATGTTTTCCACACGTATACAAGGCCTCATCTCCCTGAGAAACATAACTATCTGATTAAGATACCGTTACTCCAACCTGTACCCTCCTGTATTTCCGAGATGCCAGATATGCGTCAATGAGCGCGCAGAAAAAGGAAATGTTTTTATTCATACACGTCATATACGTGGGTTTTAAAACGCCGGGTGTTACACAAAGAATATATCTCGTAAATGAAGTTGTATACTTTGTGTGAGCTACTTATTTTTTTCACCCGGTTTAGGTGTATCGGCGCGTCGCACTGTTTTTAACCAACGCCACGCCACGCTACGCGTGTCTACCCTCTACCAGGGTGGCAGATTATATACGGAAAAATGAGGGAAATCCAGATATAGTAAAATGACTGTCTATTTATCTAAAGAGACATCTGTGAATATCCTGTGAAAAGTCAATCTGTGACCCTGGTGGAGGGTAGTGGCACATATTATAGGGAAAAAGACTCACCAGTAAGGTTTTCTCCACAGAACATAACTGGTTAGAAATAAATGATGATCGGTGATAAAAAAATTAATTATCCCTTAAAGTTAAAACTAACGCAGTATGAAAGAATTATTGTATATGCAAGAACAACACGGTTATGCAAACTGATGAATACATATTAATAAGTTAAAATGCCCGATAAAGCAGAGTAGTACTACTTACTGGCGCTCTCACTAGCTGCATAGCCGTTTCCGTATGTATACAATAGTGAGTTTTCCTCCATTAAAGCGATATCAAAGTAAAAAAAAAAAAAAATTAAGCCTGACTTAGATTTTGTCTTTTTACCTCTATATCTTCTAGATTTAGCACGCTGATAAACCGCGTAATATAATTATCGATAGGAAAGCGAAACAATGGACATACCGGTAACTAGGTCATGCTGACTGGGCAAAAGTATCTATGGGGACTCAGCTCAATCTGAACAATTGAGGCCAGATGCAATACAAAAAAGGAATCTGATAAATTCACTCATATAGCAAGACTTGGTGTTTTCCTCAAGTATTCAAGACACTCGTCTCTCTGAAGACAAAAAATATCTGGTTTAGATACCGGTACTTCAGCCGCTGTTCAACCCTTACTCCCCTACGTGTAGGGCCTAATACTGCCGCATTGTATTGATTTGTGTCAATAGTACACGAAAGAATAATGTAACTCACCGCAGCCCTCTTTAAAGTAAACCTTTATTTGTTCACGCATTACGTAGATGTCATACATCACATACAAGTAGCTGTACTGTATGTACGATATTTTTTTTTTTTTTTGATACCGCAAGGAGCTACGGGTTACGCCGAGCATGTCTACATTTTGTGCCCATAAAGTACGATTCCGTGCAATTTCGTGTGATTTCGTCTACCTTCGCCCAGACGCCGTGCGAAAAAGGTATTAGTACTCTGAAAGAATAATGTAACTCAACGCAACCCTCTATAAAGTTAACCTTTATTTGTTCAGATATAATTCAGCGCTTACAAGTAGTTGTAGTGGTAGTAGTAGCGGTTGTGGTGAAACTAAACAAACAAACAAACAAACAAACAAACCAAAAAATGATAATAAATAACTGCATTACAATAATAAAATAACGAATCTCAAAAACCGAAATACAATAAATGTACATACAAAATGAAAAATAAAAGAAAGGAGAGAGAGAGAGCAACGGGTACACACAAATAGCGACAATGTAAATAAAACTATGAAACTTAAATATTATATAGCTATAGTAGCTTATACTCACACAACATTCGGAAACTTTAAAGCATACATGTACATGCACAGCACCATGGCGGCCAGGAAAAACAGAATCGTCTAAAAGGATAATGTACATGTCAACTAAATATCGATATAAAAAAGATGACTTAATTGAGTCATATATACTGATATCACATAAGTACATGAAAATGATGTCCTCTGCAAAACCTCATGAACCTAACATATGAAAGTTACTACAATGTACTTAGATTTACGCCCCTCTGATTTGACAAATGCCAGCACTTTATTTTTGATTCATGATTCTGACTACATTCTATATACCTTACAGCGAACGACTGTTGAAATATTAAAAAAAAAAAATCATATTAAAATATTAGCGTCAAATGTGTCGTCGGCCTGAAAATGTAGGCCTAACACTTCCTTGTTGGGGATTTTAGCTAAATGAGGTTATGTTTAAATTTGAAAATATAGTACCGACCTTACGTTTGAGACGAACGTCTAAATATTTGAAATTCCAGTGCATTTAGAAAAGTTCTCTGTCATTATAATGAGCAAATCTGATTGTTTTACTGTGCACTTACCGGCTTATTTACCCAGTCGTCATCTCAGTAAGACCAGGAAGAGGTGAGGACTGTATGTAGATCTATGTACGCTAGTGCAAACCCCGCTATTGCATCGACTTTATTTTTAAATAATTAAATAAAATTAATAAACTAAAATGTTTGTCTACTATTGTAGATGCCACTCATATCAGAGGATGATATTCCTTTGTTCACTCAGACGATAGCCCCGTGTGTAATGGGGATGGGGTTTAATGTGGGTACTGGTGGGTGGCGGGGGCGGCATGCACGTGCACGAAGTGAAAGCAGCACAAGACAGGAAGGTTAGGGCTAGCTACAGAACAACTTTACTGTCATTACAAATGTAAACTTTTTGTACTTGTTCAAAGTGTGTGCGTTTGAGTGTGTGTTTTATTTTAAACAACAGTGCTATGTTTGATTAAAGGAGATGGGATCAATCAGCGTGATTGTGCTAATGGTCATGACAATAATGTTTCACTTTTACCACTACCTTTAAATAATGTCACAGCTTACTAGTTTAACAACGCTATAGTATTAAAAGTCTGCCATAGACCTTATTGTTGTCAAGCAATCATGATATTCTGAGCACCTGGTGGCTATTGTGTCTTTCTAAAGCAGATGCTTACAGAAATTGCACGCGTAACCTGTAGGTCTGGATAGAAAAAAAAAAACATGTTAGAACGCGAGTTAGAACGCGACCACCCCTGATGTACAGTACAGTACTAGCGCCGTTCTGTAGTCTACTAGCGCCGTTCTGTAGTCTACAAGTGCCCTTAAGCTTCTGTAGTCTCCACACATGACTTTGGACTAAGCCCAAGCAATAACTTCGCTATTTTTATTTTTCATTCCACCTTTTTAACAACATTTAGTTTAAAAACTACAGTCAAAAAGTATTACATGAATCCCCATCACAAAAAAAAAAGAAAAAAAATTGATATAACGCAATATTATTTGATAGATAAATTAATTTTAAAAAAACGTAACATACCTTTTTACCATTCTGTGGTTTTAGTGCTATTATTCCTAGAATCCGTCATTATTACAACAAACGATATCTTAATTACTATTTAATACCACGCAACGTCCTTTTGTAGCGTTGGTAGTAAAGGTTACTTTCCTGCAGCGTTGGTTGTCAAGCGTTAGCTGTCAGGCGTTGGTAGACATGCGTTTTTAGTCAAGAGTTATAGGATTGGCCACTGGGCTGAGATAAGCGTGTACATGTAGGCCTACCAGTACATGTATAGTCACTCGGTCATATATTGCCATGGCTAAGTATAATGTTCTTTTTACACTACTAGTATTACTTGTGATTACAGTAGTTTCCCAGCAGACAAACGACATTGATTCACCGTTAAATCAACGTTAATTTTGGTGGATCAACGTTGAATCAACGTACATGTAGAATCAATGTCGTTTGCCTGCTGGGTTGGTTGTCAGCGAATGTTTTGATGTTGTCTGGGCTTGGCAATTTATTCTACTTATTAATTTACAAATGGTTAAATCAACACGAACATGAAAGAACACGACATGCTTCATGTTACATGGACATGTAGTACCGGTACATTTTTGGACCAACCGGTATCGGTTGTTTGTATCACTTAGTTACGCGCAGCCGCACATCAAAGGGTAATCCCCTGTATACTATTTATACCTGCAGTCACATGGTGTGGAATCCTGCATAAATTCCACATTGTGTAGTCATAGTTAATCAACATGTTATTATCTAATTTGCGTCTGTCCTGTATACATTTAAATATTATTTTCTGTAAAGGCCCATAGGTAGGCCTATGCTTGAGACAGATGCATATCACCTGTTAATATTGCACAACAATCAGCATGTAAATAAGTAGCAGCCACATGTACACGTATGTAAATAAGAAGCAGCCACATGTACACACAGATTCCCTGTAGATAATCTGTATATAACTTGAAACTTGTCCATAATAAAGACACTTTTGATCTGAGACTGAAGATGTGAGGTTGTTCTGTTATGCTTCTCTGTGCACGTAAAGTGAAAGACTGAGTCGAATCTGGAGTCATGTCGGAGCCCATAGATTAGTTAATTCGTTAATGGAAATTGATACACTGGAATTCAGTACAGTTATAAATTAAAGTTAAAGTCATTTTAGACGGTTCACAACAATGGTTTAGTTACTCCGTAGTTCAATGAAGCGTTCAGACGCATGGTGGGCGGTCCTAAAGGTGAATGCCCCATCATCCCCCCTCTGTTCATCGCCATTATGTCAATTGGACTCAACCCTGATGTCAATAGAGACAATATGTTGTTATTCTATCACTTAAAACTCAACCGTGATAACGCCAGAGGGTAAATGTCGAACTGCGAGATATATTTTTACTCCCCGTAACTTTTCAGCTAGAAAACATATGGCAAACAGTCTTTGTACTTTGCTTATGAATTGGTGACTTTCTAACCGAGAAAAGATTAGATTATTGAGCAATCAAGACTTCTAGGATACATGCAATTTGATAATAATTAGTTAATCTAATGTTCACCCAAGAAATAAAACGATAAATTAAATGAAGGGTTCCCAGTTAGACTAATACAAAGCTATAAAATCATTCTCAGGTAACCGTTACTTATACATGCACTGTTCAGTTGAGGAACGACAGGGTCTTACACACTGGGGATAGGATGGGGTAGTGCTAACAAAAAGTAATAAGGATGGAAGAGGGTAGAATGACATGCAACTAACACCATAGCTAATGTACCCCCCACCTCCCGCCACACACTCACCTACTAAATTTGACTTCTTATTCTAATCATTAATTTAATAAGGGCTACATTAGCAAGTAAATAATATGCTTCATACTAGATGTTTACCCAGGTATCGGTATTGTCTTGTTGTAACGCTGGGTCCTTAGTTACCCGGTATGCGCAGCAGGACATCAAAGGGGAATTCCCTATCATACAATTTCAGCCAGCAGAGAGGCGTTTTTATTTACAGCTGCTCAACAAGAACCCCACCCCCACCTACACTCTACTGGGCAATTGACTGTTTTGATTGCTGTCAGGGGGATTTGACAGGGACTTGCCAAGTGACAGTGCCTTAGTATCAGTAGTTATATTCAAACAGTTACCAACCATGTAACCATCCTTGAGATTTCTGCACAGGGTCTCAGCACAGAGATTAGCCACCTGCTTAACGAGATACATATCTGTTAATATTTATTGAAAATCTTGTGGACCTGTCAGAGGGTAAACCTCACCCTTTCTTTGTAGCCTGTTTGCATTGAAAGGTCAACAGGAAAGGAAACAAACAGCAAAGTTGAAAGGGTGGTTGAAAGGTAAATAAACGGCTGCATTTCTATTGACATTCTTTGTAGGTTTGCAATGCAGCGTTCTGTAAGCATGCCCTGCAGTAAATATTGCAAAGAGAGTACAACAAACCCTCATTATTCTTATTATTAAAAGTTAAACAGTTTTCATTATATGTGTTTATTATTATTATTATTATTATTTTCGTTTTCCTTGTAAAAGTTTTAATCCAAATACAAAATTCAAGAATCGACCCCTCTTAATAATTAACATCTTCATAGCTACACGAGTTGTTTCTTTTACCGGTTAGTGTACTGGCGGGNGTCGTTTGTCTTTGTATCCAATATGGCGGCTACTTTTCTTGCTATCCGTACCGCCAGACGGCAACGTAGACTACGACGTTTTCATGAAAGGCAGAATCTATTAGTCAAAAAGGTTTCATTTATGCTAGATCCTGAAATTTGATTTACCTGTTGACTGTTTATGTCGTCATACACATGGGACAGCTTGTGTGCTCCTTCATCTCTGTTCATGGTGTGTTTCTTCCTTCTTATCCAGATCGATTCCAAAACTTCTCAAACCCATCCTGGGGGGAGGGGGCGAGAGGGGCTAACAAGTCATCATCAAGACTGAGATAATTACCTGTTCACCTTCACCTGAACAGGTAATTCAGTTGTGACCAAGTCTGTCAGAGTGAACAGACGAAACAGTCAACAGGTAAATCAAATTTCAGGATCTAGCATAAATGAAACCTTTTTGACTATCAAAACTAAGATCCAATGAAACTGTTTTCACAGAATCTATTAGAATATACACACGATGATGCAATTTACGAGAGGTTGCGCCTAGCTGTGACAAAAAGAGCGGCAAAAAGGTGGTGGAGATCCTTTACGACGACCTCAAAGCAGACGTTCTTATGCATTTCCAGCCACCACAAATTGGAGAGTTAGTGCTTTCGTGACACTTTTACGCAAGAGTTCCACTTCCGGCAGACGGTTTCGAGACTACGGTGAGTAACGAGAGAACTAACGACCGAACTTTACGACTGAACTTAGCGATGAGTTAACGACTGCTTCGTGAAACACCCTTCGAAAATCGCTAAGTTTGCTCGTTAGCGAGGTAGTTCAGTAGTTAGTTGTTCTAACTAACTACTGCTTTGTGAAACCGGCCCCTGGCTTCCTTCTCTCTGGGAAAAAGGTTTTGGTTAATAAGTATGACGCTAACATTGCGATGGTGTGACACTTTGGTAAATAAGTTACGTATTCTGCTATCAACCGCCGCCTCGGCAAACAGGTCGTCGAATACAATGAGATTGTTCACTTTAGGATCAAAGAAATCGTCATCTTGGATATTGGAAGGAATGCCTTGATGAAACGTAATAAAACCCTTTGCCTCGACCAGCATGACTTCGTATAAATGTTGCAAGATATTGTAACACCAAGTTATTTTCTGTGGGCGCGGTGTAATCATTGATTGGGCGTGTGCAATCAATCGTTTCACGAAAACCGATTTTCCACTGCCAGTCGGACCAGTCACCATGGCAGTAAATGGGGACATGAGTGGTCCACACTCACTACCAGCCTGCAGATTAAGCTGAGCTTTTGCCTGGTGTACACTCATTACGTGTCTATTCAAGTTGTCCTTTCTGGAGAAGGTTTTTTGGCACTCTGGACACTTCAGCATCTTGTCAAAGAATGAGAAGTTAGAGCAAGGAGTAAGCTATTTATATTAAACCTATATATTTACACCCTCCTCCTCACTAACTGTCCCTCCTCCCCCTCGCTTAATCATCCTCCTTTTTACATCCTCCTCCCTCACTTTCAGTATATCTCATTTATTTCATAGGGTCATTTTATTGGTATTTGTAAAGAAGGGACGCGACTGTAATCAAAACAGACAAGATAAGATTTTCAAAGACACAGAAAATGATGTTATAAAATTTTAAATACGCAAAAAAATAATAATAATAAGACTTTAAAAAAGGAAAACAACAATTAAAAAAAGCATTGATAGCTATAGTTTCCCCTGGTCGGTGGTATATCTTTGTTGACCAGAGGTCCACCTTATCTGAGTAAACATAAACATGCCTGGACATGTTTGCAATATTTGAATTCACGAGCGAGGCATGTGAACATTGAATGTTATATAGCTCGAAGGCGCTATGCATGACAGCGTTCAGCATAAGACACTGCTTGTTTAAAGTTCACAGCACAGTTCTTTTTTGTTTTTTCTTGGTCGTGAACCATGTACGTTGTTTTGCATTACTCGATTTGTACATTAGTAATTAAGTGTCTGACCAAACGCAAGCAAATAATGCAGTCATCGATGACAATTTTTGCTGGCATGGTGGAGTGGTATTAACACCGAGAAATGGTGGAGCTTTGCAGGTCTTTTTCTTTATTTTAAAATATAAAAAAATAATTATATAATACACCGTTTCAACTCTACAGTCGTTGGCAAAATTAAAATGACTCTGCAATTTTTCACCAAAACATAAAGATTTAAACCTTTGCATGTCAAATATTTATCGGGGTATTATAGGCGACCGAATGACATGACTTTGCACTTTTTTTCCTTCATTTTAATAGCAAATATTAGAAAACTTATATAATACAGCATGGCCATCTTTGGTGAAATAAAATGACTCTGCTATTTTTAAGCAAAACAAGTCTGCTGCCTTGTCGACTCTGCCTGTCTGATTGCTGACACATCCGTTTATCTCTCTCTACTTGAGATATTACCTTGTAGGTATCCAAGTACCTCGTCATTGACATTCGCTTACAAAGCGATATTTGCAAATCCGCCTGCACGTTCTTCAAGTGTTAGTTTGTTGACAAATCCACTTGATCGATAAGACCCGCCCGCTCTCTGCTTGTTGCGTCGCCTCGTAGGTATCCCAGGCCATCAAGTGCATTCGTCATTAACATTCGCTTGCTACGCCTCATTTACGATCTAAAAAAACTGCATTAAAAGTATATGGCGCCTCTTGGTTTTGCAGCTTCTGGAACTCCTCTCTTACTACTCACACTGTTATTTGAAAATCCTCATCGTTCTGGGTATGCCCGTGAAACTCGAAGTCGGGGTTGATTCATGTCTTTTGTTTATTTATTTTTTTTTTAATTTATTTATTAGTTCTACGACTAGAGACCCACCAGGCTCACGGGATTTTCTGTACACTCTTCTTGAAAGGACAACAATTTTAATTAATATATTATCAGCGCATGCGGTACTTATCGTTCACTTTCTGGAAATTTTTCATTTTAATGTCCGGGTAAGATCCAATAAAAATTTAAAAAAAACATGATCATAGATTGGAGCACAAAATACGCAATAAACGCGTTTATTAAAGCGAGGCTTAATTGAACCCTACGCTATATAATGGTATTTATGCGACCTACCTTCAGCTTGTCCCTGATTCTGTTCCAGTGCCAACAACACTCTTGACGCGGTGTTCTTTATCTCATTACTAGAGTGATGGGAAAGTGTTTGAAGCATGTCTATGCAATTTCCAACCTCCTAAAATAGACACCAAATTATATTTGAAGAATATATTGCCACTGGTTTTCCAACTTAAACAGTAGGCATTTTGAAAAGTGTTGAAAGCCATCTCCCAACAATAGAGCATTAAATTTGGGATAATTACCAAATATAACATTTTTGTAGAAGCACGACTGGATACATACGCTAAAATGATGAACTGCCAAAATAGCTATTCCATAGGAATATTCAAAACACTGTAACCTACCACATTTTCAGCTTTTTAAAATTGGTTTTGAAATTCATTTCATCCGTTCGGCTTACAAACGTCATTTTTAGGATGTTCATATACAACTTACGCAATATACATTTAGGGAATAAATGTCAAACAATACTCATAATCACGAAACTCTGCAATAGTTTGATGGGAAAAATATCCCGTTTATTACAATCAAAAACTATGGAAATTACCTTTATTTTTGCTTTGTTTTCTTGATCAAGGGAAAGTTTCCACAGCGTTTTTGCTGATTGTTTTACATCTTCTTCATCAGGTGACATAAGCATAGTAGCAAGAAGTGGTATAGCGCCGTGCTGCACTAAAGCTACTTTATCATTCTCGTGTCTAGCAAGTACCCCCAATGCTTCAGCCAGTTCAGATGTTGACAACCCTCGAAATCTTCTTTTCTCCGCTTCCAGCGCTTTCTCCAGTCCGTTAATGAGAAACGTGAATACGGTTTCGTCTGTTGTCAACAAATCGTTTTGTTGTTCGTCTGTGATGTAACATTTGATTAAGGTCGCTTCTGCTTTTATCTCTGAAATAAACGTGCTCAGCTCATGACGTAAAAGTAGGTGTTCCTGCACTTCTTGAAACAAGGAACGCGCAAGGTAGCACAACCGTGGCTGAAGGACGTATCTACCATTGTTGAGTTACCACAATAAGCATGTTTCACTTTTCCCCGAGTTTAGTTTCACAATTATAGAAATATACTGATATAATGTTATTTAAATCAGACCTCAAGATATGATATCGAATACTTACTCTCATCAGTTGACTGTAAGTAAGGTTCGATTCTCTCCAAGACGTCAAGCTCCTGGAAAATGTCTTTTATAGCGTCGAGTTTTGAACAGTTGTACACTGGAGCTATGGCTGTTTGTACGGCTCCCAATGTCCCTTTGTTCTATAAAACAAGAATTAAAACGCTTCATGTTTATTTATTTCTTGGTGTGTTGACATTTCATTTAATCAAAATACAAATTTATCTTTTCGTCGAAAATAAAACATTTGCCTTTCATTATTAATATGTATTTCATCACAAATAGTTCTCATGGATGTTTTGCACCAAAGGCCGCTGGTTTCAAAATATTTCCAGGATGTCTAAGTTTGATTAATATACTGACGTAGGGAGTCATTAAATGTTTTATGAATGATCATGAAACAAAGAATAGTTTATCAAGTCTTAAAAACCACGAAACATTCAAAAGAATGGCGTTTTGAACACAGTAACGTACATTTTCTTGCAATGTGTTGTTTTGTATCCCGATCTGTACGGCGTCTAGGTCCTTCATCATAAGCTCCAAGTAGCCAGAGCGTNCGTTAAAAGTATATGGCGCCACTTGGTTTTGCAGCTTCTGGAACTCCTCTCTTACTACTAGTGTGTTATAGAGAACTCAAATATATATATATATATATATATATATATATATATATATATATATATATATATATATATGATTGATTTCAGCCACCAGGGTTATCACAAAGGAGGACATCGAATTTTTGAGTCAGCACTTGGGTAACCGCTGGAAGCAACTAGCAAGGAAACTGGACATTCCTGAAGGTGAAATAGAAATCATAATCCATGACCATAATGTGTCTGGACTTAGGGAGATGATACACCAAATGTTAAACAGATGGAAGAACAGAGAGTCCACAAAAGCCACAGCTAAAGCTTTGGCTGAGGCACTATGTGAAATAGGAGAAACCCGCATTGCTGCTATGCTGCCATTGTAGAGTCGTATACGGCACCACAGTAATCCCGAAGGAGATTAATATTTGACTTATCTTGAATACTGACAATTATTACCCATATCTAATGTACAGATACATCAACATTTCCCAATAATGCTTTTAAAGTAGATGCTGTTATTTCTACATCGTATAATGTATCAGTGAAGACTAGGGTTGCAGAATATTATCATTGTTTAAGCTCATACATGTATATTACTAACATATGGATATTTGTTATGGTTGTTCCTTTTTTTCACTGAGCATTTAATATGAGGAGATTTTACGATATTGGAGTTTATTTTATCTAGCTATGCTAAAAGTGACATTCGATAGGATGTGTCCAATTCTAAGCTAGCACATTATCATTCAGTTGTGTAAGGAACTTTATATGTTTATCTGCTTTGTAAGTATTTTGTTTTCTAAAATTACAATATTATTATTACAGGTATATTGTAAGTTTCATACATATCATATTACACCGTGGGTGCATCTATATCTGTACAGAGAGGTTTTATTAAACCCTAAGACGGCACGGCAGAGAGGGTATACATTGAATGGCTATAGCACCTTGTTCTAAATTAGATTTGTCCGTTAAATCCGACTCAAATACTGTAAAATACAGTAGGTATGTACAGTGTTTATGATACATGTAGGTATGTTACTTAGAATTTTTCAAAGTCCCTACGTGAAACAAAGTGCTTAACATGGAATGGAATTCACAAAGGTAACATTTTACAAATTTCATGATAATTAAAGTGGGTTGGGAGTAACTGAAATTATCTCTGCATAGATATGATAATAGATATGATACATATACTACAGTTCTTGCCTCCTGTATGTAATGTATTATTCACAGTTGCAAAAGCCACATACAACATGGTATCTTGTGTCAGTGACTATTAGTGGACTCACCGTACATTTCATGTATAGTATAGTCGATGGCAAAATGGGTATATCATGTAGGTGATAAGGTGTTCATGAATTATATTTAGTATGCACACTATGTGCTCCTTTTATGATTTGAGTTTTGAAAGCTATAATTTTTTATTAAATTACTAGTACTTACAAACAGGCGTGATATTGTATATGAGCAACTACGTATCCACTTATATCCTGTTAATATCCTTACATCTAATTTATGTTAAGAGTGGCATTTTTGGCTTCTTGTAATCCCACTTTTGCTGGGATAATTTGATCTGAATATGTCACAGTTTACGCTGGTAGCAAATATATCAAAATTTATAAGATAAAATACGTATATAGATGTGCAATTAGAATACAAATGCGACTAAATAGCTTGAAATAAATACATCTGAATATGCCCTTTTTTCTTTTTCTATCTGTCCTTCGACGTTTGTGTAGTCGTTATGCGATGAAGACGTTTCCTCAGGATCGCAGAAATCTTTATGTCTCCTCCATCCCAGTGCACCACAAACTTGCATAGTCCCATTCATAACAGAAGAGAAGGCAACAAAGACTATCAGTTGTTCGTGATTTGGCCAAACAAGGCCGCTTTTATTATATAAACTCACTATCCTAATAATTTTATCAATAATAACAATGTAGCAAAATGTTGCCTGCATTAACTGTTATGGCCTTAGGGATAAAAATTAAATATGAAATATTAAATAACACTCATCGTCCTAAAAATAATGATGTGACGAGTCAGCAAAAGTAATTATTTTCAAACAATTTTGCACGATCCCGAAATCTATAATATCCAAATCGCATATTACTATCTGAAATGTAGGAATCACACTTCAGTCTTTTGACGCTGTAAAAAATTAATTACTGTTCGGCATTTCCATCCATTCGATGGCCTGTGTCATGATAACTGGTCAGATATCTGTTCTTACTCTGTTTTTTTACTAAGGGACGCGTTGCCTCTAACCAGTGTGATTTTTTTCTTCTGTGGTGGACAATATGACATTCGCAAACGGCAAAAATATTCTCATTGGCAGTTTTCCGGGATTTGAAACTTAAAATGTTTTTCTATCAACAATTTTTAAGATATTTCCCACAATTGGCACAATTCTCAACGTCATCGTCGGCGTCTCACCTTCGTGTCATTTTCGCTAATACCGTAAGTATGGGTACATAATTTCCGAACGCTGCATAAGGAACAAGTGACGATAGCACTCAAGATTAGAATGAAAGAATTTTTTCTTTGGGAAATGGCAGTTCATAGGATAAGATGCTCCAATAATGACTCAGACGGTGAAAACATTACAAAAATAGTTACAAGTGAACATTTCTTTTTTTTTTTCGTTTTTCCCTTTTTTAAGCATTAAATCTATAAGCAGCCACATTACAATTTAAATCTATTTTCTGGGGGTATTGATTTCATAAAGTATTCCTTAGTTGAATTTACCAATGGTAATCACGGCTACGACACACGCACGTGATGGCTGTGTAAAAAATGTGGTCAGCACTTGAATATCCAGCTCTGTAGTATATATAATAAATCATGGATCATAACTTAATTGCGGTATGTTGGCTCCTACAGTGGCCCTGATCAAGGATGTACATATAGGACAACTTCTCAGCGCAGGCGCACACTGTGCACAGATAACTAAGTGACCACACGGTAGAAATACCACGCTAACCTCCTCGTCCATGCAAATCTTGCACGTCATCTGTGCTTTCAAACGCTGGTTCTCCTCTATGAGAGATATGGCTTCTGAAATGTAATAAGATGCCAGGAAATCAAATATTAGTTCAACGTATGCACTGGTTTCGTGTTATACTGTGGCACACACTATTTATACATGATATATGCATAAATAAATATTCGTACTCCAAGCTATACACCCCATGCTTCTGTTTCTACCAAGCAGAGATACCAGATCTGAAGGATCTTTACTGTCTGTGTGAAATGCAGAGAACAAACAGATAAGGACGGCTACTAGTACAGGTTGTTACAGTGTACAATCAAGGAGCTCTAATGCACCTTGCTGCAATATTGTACATACCTTCGTCATTTTCGCCTACAGTCGTTTTGGCCTCTGTACTTTTTTGCTTCTTCTTTCCTCGCTTCTTTTCCTCTTTAGCTACAGAAAATATAAAGAGCACAGAAGTGAAGATTTGTAGTCATACCTTGGGGCTTCTCTGTTATTACTATACACTATGGACACGTACCGGTATAATTTATTTATTTATTTATTTATTTATTTATTTATTTATTTATAAATTTTGATATTAAAATGCCATACCAGGCTTTGGAGTCCGACTGGGTGAGGGAGTGTCCTGAGCGGGTTCAGCGACACCTAGCAGAGTCTGTTCACGTGCCTCTCCTTGCGTCTGCCACTCCTCATAGGACAGAATAGCTTCAAACAGGCTCTCGGCGTTCGGGAAGTCGTCCCCGGTGGTCCGCAGTCTGTTCTCAATGACTTTTCTCACTGTGTCCCTGGGATAACCCATCTGCAGTACTGCCTGGACAATGGGGATGTCCAGTCTGGCCTCGATTTCTCGGGCCTCTACCACGTACTGACCGGCTGTAATGGACAAAATACATTGGTCCATGCATAATATCTTTTCTAACAATTGTTACTGGTCCCCGACAGTGATAAGCACTAAGGGCCATGAACTACATGTATAGTGCATATTCTGACGCATGATTCTGAGCCCAATTTTTTTCCAAGTTGCAAACGTTTTAAATGGGGTGTATTCTGCGTATCATTTGTGTTTTATAACTTGTTGAGACAGACGCAATCGGTTCAGCTTTTCAATCATAGGATTTATTAGACAGTCAAAGAACTAGACTAATGGGCTGAAGTAGACAGCCATGACTACGTTGCAGAAGGTTACCTTCTCGTCGTCTGACATTTGTTATAGCTGCTTGGTTTTGAGAGGTCAACTGCGGCTGCTGACATAAGAAAATAATATAATATTATATTCAGAAATAGACAAAAAGTGGAACGGATTATCACATATACCCGGTAGTAGAAGGTGATTGAAAGCATAGCAACTCATGTATAAATCATGTATGTATGTATGTACGTAGTTTTCAATGAACTTTATGATATGGCATGTATTAGATGCAAAGCAAGAATATTATGCCCTGAAATACAATATAAAAGTGCAAGAGGCTGTTTTACAATACACAGCAATTATGCCCTGGAATACAATGTAATTGTACAATTTGTTCTTTTACAATACACTAAATAAAAAATTCTGTTACTCTTTAAGATATAAGTAAATTAAATTAAGCACACATATTACGAACACCAATGAACTTACTCTTACCGTGTCGTTGCTGTGGCATGCGAACCGCTGTTGAACATGTCGAATAAACTCCTCCCCCTTGCGCTGAAGGACAAAATCACAAAAAGGGAACCAGCGCGCATGCTCAGTCCATGGGTCATCTTGTGGCTCCCAGTTTCTCAATCCCCCATCACAGTAAAAGCACTTCACGTTGTCTGAAATTCCTGTGCACAGCAAAAATAAAATTTAAATAATCGTTAATTGATCTCCTCCTTTTTGAACTTATACTTCTATTAAAAGAGAGGCATAACCTCGCGTTATGGACTTTACTCCTAAAGTCGGTAGAAAAAGTAACCTTCGAACAGATTAACATTACATACCTTAAATAGCACAGGATTGAGTATTACTAGTACGTATAATCCTTTCATGACTTAATGTCGAATAGTTTTGTTTGCTGTGCGTTTTGAATTGGCCACTAACACCCCATTTCCATAGATTTTTAGATCGATCTATCCCTGTGGGGAGTCTCACTAGATTACTGTCAGCTTGGCCGGCTTAAGCGTCTGTCCCGCCTACTACAAGCTGTAAGGGGGCAATTAACTATGGTGCCCGCTCGGCTGACTGCAATTTAGCGTGAACCCCCAGGGAGTTAGGTCGATCTAAAACTTAATCTTTAGATCGATCTTATTCTCTGGGAAAGCACCTTAAGTTTCATTTGCCATACGCTCTTGAAAAATTAACTGATATTTACCAATAATCATACATTGGTGAATGGTCGATCCCTACAAAAAGGATGTCGGACAATAAAAATCGATCAAAAACTGGGACAAAAATCGGTCCTCAGCCAGCACCAAGAAAAAAAAAACCTGGACAAAATGTAATAACATTAACCAGAATAGTAAAACATCAAAATACTGGGCAAAGAAAACTGTGACTCTCACCGTGAAGTTTTTGAAGATATTCACATCAGGCTGCATGGGGAAAAACTCAACAGAAATGATAGAACTGAGTTATATCAATTTTCCACTTCTCTGGGAGGGGGTCGAGTAGGAAGAGGGGGCACCTGACTAACTACCTCACCTTAATGGTGACAGGTTGTAATACTTATCACAGCCCTCATTTCCCTGATGTAGTCTGATTGTCAGCGGACTAAATATCAGCTTATTTTTTCCGGAGCTATTGACAAATGCTTACTCTTTTAACCTGATCACTGTAATTGCAAACACACAATATCATTAAATACAATGATTTTCCTTTGCTTGCTCGTTTTGTTTTTGGAACATATTCATTTCTTAATAAAATACATATACTGTTACACCTGCGTGAATAAAAATAATTAAGTTTCCCGTCCTCAACGAAGGAATACCGTGACCCATGCCAACCTGTCCAAAGAAACATTCCGAACCTGCCACACGGGACACTTATCCTATGGGACCTTGTCGTGCTAATAGTGCGTATCTTACCAGCGTAGAAGAAGCCGGCCTTAGCCAGGTTGACAGGGTTCTGAGCCCAGTGAGCAGACCAAGTTGCAAACGTTTTTTCTCGTACACTTTCATTTGCGAATCTTTCGTGCTTTGGTCTTTCCGTTAGGTTTCCTCCATGAAATATAGCTAGGTAAAAAGAAATGATATCAAAGATGATCGAATGAATTCTCATTCCGACGACATTCTAGTTCTTTCCACCTCTAGTCTGACTACGGTATAACATATTAGATTAAATAATGCCCACCAATCGACAATATTAAAATTAAACAATATAAGCATGTTATAGTTATATTTGGAGAAGCGCAATTTGTAGACTCACCATTTAAGTTTTCTCTACGAAACATAGCTGGTTAAAAATAAAGAATCACTTTGATGATCGCTGATGAAACTTAACGAAAAGAATAACTGTCCGTTTTAGTGCCGGTACTTCAGCAGCTGTTGAACTTGTATCTCACTGCAGTATGTATGTACATGTATTTTCCAATAAAAGGGGAGGTTATGTGTCAAAGAACACTACGAAAGAGCTTTTATATATGCCGACCGATATTTCATAATTCATGCTTGGCTTTATCAAAAGATGGGTCACAGACAAGTTCATGTGAATAATTGACAGTACTTCAGTCATTGTCACTTTGCAACTTAACCTCCCTATAGCATACAATGTTCATGTATCTATTCATGTCGGTTCACAACACGCTGAAAAAACATGCTTTAACGATCGACGCTTTATAGGTCATGTAACAAAAGGAAGGGGGCTCGGCCTAATCTACACATATTGTTCCGGGTGTTGTACAAAGAAGAAATCTCATAAATGGTGTTTTATACACGTATACAAAGGTAGTCGTTTAGATACCGGTGTCATGTACCAGAAAGTCACCTGTAACAGATTCCGCTTCCCATTCATTTGTACAGGTGAGCCTCGCCCTAGATTTCGACCCACTTAGGTCAGACTAACTCTAACCATTATGACTTCATGGAGGGGGGGACTTTCTGTCACACGGACCTTCAGTTTCGTAAAACCGGTACTTTAGCCGCTGTTCAACCTGTACCTCCCTGCAGTGCATGTGTTTGTTCGTTATTGTGAGACAGAATGGTATCAAACAACACGCTAAAAAGCTTTCGTCGACCGACTTCTTACAGTTTATGAAAAGGTAAAGGGTTAAAGTCAACAATTGAGGCCAGGTGCTCCAGCAGCTGTTGAACCTGTACATCCCTGTAACCTACATGTATTTTCCAAACATCGGGGTTGCTAACACGCTGAACATCGATCGATGTTTTATGGTGTATATAATTCTATTCATACCTTATTAGATTCATTCATCTGAATCAGGGCAAGTACAATGCCTTCAATATACACTTATTTCAAACTTGTGACTTTAAAGCTTTTCTAGTGTAATCTAAATCAAACAGGCGTTTTACGCTTACCATTATAAAGGGGAAATGTCAACCAAACGACAAAAATAAAATAACCAAAAAGCACATTAAATTAAGATATTGGGAATTTTTCATTCCGCATATTTTTGGGAAGACCTAGTGGCAAATTCACCATGCGTGTGAATACTCAATCAAAGTACAGAATAACAAAGTTACACGTTTACTGTTTTTATAGATATTACATGATATGCCCAGATTACATTTACACGGGCGCCGTGCGATGAAATTGTTTGTGCGATATTTTTTTGAAATCGTAAGGAGCTACGGGCTACGCCGAGTATGTCTACACTACATGACATTAAATCAGTACGATTCGGTGCTATTTCGCACGGCCACCGTCTACCTCCACTCAGACGCCGTACGAAAAGGGTATTACGGGCAGTATACGTGCACCGTACGGGCATTGCATTTGAATGTAATCTAGCCAATAGAGAATCCTCTTTTCATGTACAGCTGCGCGTACTTAGTATCTAAGGGTTTAGTGCTGTTGCATGTATAAAAACAATAGTGATAGCTGGGTGTACAAATAGTTAGAATAAATAGAAAAAAAATATTCAAGCCTAGGAATCTAGGAGCAGCAAAAAACTTACTCAACTAACCAAAGTAATTCTAGAAGTGTGAATAGAAATAAAATATAAATAAATAGCCATGGTAATAACGTGTGACTTTACGTGTACACGTATATTTTAGCACAGTGGCCAATTTTGGTGACACTAACCTTTAAAATCAACGCAAAAAAAAGGATGCTGTGGTTAAAAAACAAACTGGGGGGGGGGGGGGTCAGAACAATTGTGCCTATACAATTGATACAGAGGATTTGTACTTACAGGTCGAATTTCTAGAAAATCGTGCCAAGAACCTACTTTTTGTAGGTCATGCTGGGCGAATGTATCAAGAGGGACTCGGCTTAACCTGAACAATTGAGGTCGGGTATAATACAAAGAAGAAAGCTCATGAATGAAAATATATAGCAAGACTTGATGTTTTCCACGCTTATACAAGACCTAATCTCCCTGAAAAGAATAACTATATGATAAAGATACCGTCACGCCAACCTGTACTCCTGTATTTCCGAGATGCCAGATATGCGTCAATGAGCGCGCAGAAAGAGCAAATATTCTTATTCATATACGTGGGTTTTAAAAAGTCGGGCGTTATACAAAGAATATATCTCGTAAATGAAGTTGTATTCTTTGTGTAAGCTGGACTTATTTTTTTCACCCGGTTTAGTTGTATCGGCGCGTCGCACTGTGTTTAATCAACGCCACGCCACGCCACGCGTGTCTACCCTCTACCAGGGTGGCAGATTATATAGGGAAAATGGGGGAAATCCAGATATAGTGAAAGGACCGTCTATATATCTTAAGACATATCTGTGGATTTCCCGTGAAAAGTCAATCTGTGGCCCTGGTAGAGGGTAGTGGCAGATATTATAGGGAAAAAGACTCACCATCAAGGTTTTCTCCACAGAACATAGCTGGTTAGAAATAAAGGCCCAATTTGATGATCGGTGATTAAAAAAATAATTACCCCTTAAAGTTAAAACTAACACAGTATGAAAGAATGATTGTATATGCAAGAACAACAAGGTTATGCAAACTAATGACTACATATACATTAATAAGGTAAAATGCCCGATAAAGCAGAGTAGTACTACTTACTGGCGCTCTCACTAGCTGCATAGCTGTTTCCGTATGTATACAATGGTGAGTTTCGCTCCATTAAAGCGATATCAAAGAAAAAAATTAGTAAGCCTGACTTAGATTTTGTCTTTTTTTTTCTCTATATCTTCTAGATTTTTGCACGCCGATGAATCGCGTAGTGCAGGGGGAAACCGAGGCAAAGTACATAACTAGGTCATACTGGGCGAATAGAAACTATCGATAAGGGGGGGATCGAAACTATCAATATGCGCTCAGCTTAACCTGAACAATTGAGGCCGGGTGTAATATAAAGAAGAAATCTCATAAATACAGTCATATAGGATGACTTCATGTTTTCAACATGTTTACAAGGTACTCGTTTCTCTGAAATGAATAACTATCTTGTTTAAATACCGGTACTTCAGGCGCTGTTCAACCTGTACACCCCTACCTACACATAAGACCTACCAGTGTTACTCATACACTGGACCTTCCTTTCTGCGTCCTTTCAGCCACCATGAAATTTGGCATCGCTGTGGTTTTAATAAGGAGTCACGAGCATTGATTTTGTATCAGAATAAATGTTCAATGATCGGCCAGTTGTCGGCACGTAAAATATTATAAATTTTTAACTCTCAAATGGGGCCGTACTCCTGGACGCAGAGAGGACGCCGTCTAGTGTAAAGGGGGCTTTAGGAAAAGGGAAACAAAGCATGCTGAAAGACACATGATTTAATCGAACGCCCTTTTGAAGGACAGCGACTGTTCAAACTGTAACCTACATGTATGTGGGTTTTATCAAAAAGTAAGAACATGATAACGGGTACGCAGTTGGTAATCATAATGCCTGGCCGTTTGTGAATGAAAAATAATATTTATATAATAAACATATGTACTAGTAAAATTACTCATAAAATATTCTATCTAAGCAGCAAGATAAACCTTGGTATGATTATAAATTTACCATAAACATACTATAAATATATAGGTACAAGCATATGTTACAAAAAAAAAAATGATATGTTCAAACTTAGGAGGGAGAATACAGTTACATAGCCGTTTACATGGCTGTTTAAAGCCAGTTTGATGACATAGATAATTATGATTAATGACAATTACCTAAAACTAGATAAGTAAATAAGTTACACAGATATAAATATTGTGCCATGGTCAGTCCCACTGCTGAGTCACTTCTCATAACAGTGGGACCATACATTGGCATTTTATGGGATATACTAAGAGTTACCAAGCAGAGCAACCACTTCATTTCTTTTCTTGAATCAATTTATTATAAAGTTGAAGAGTAACACTAAAGTATATTTGTTGGCACTGTTAAATACATGACATAATTGACTGTCTGGTGACCTAGTATCAGTATTTAGGATGGAGGTATGATTAATTATATGATAGGGGAATCCCCCTATTTGAAGTGCAGCAGTACTGTATTCAATATTTAAAGGCCACAGCAGACAGCTGGGTATACACACATAAAGCAGTCAACACGCGCTGATAAACAATCTGACAAAGGAATTCTTGTAGTGTAAATGCAAATTATCTCAGCGGCCTACCCGCACGAAAATGCAGTAGTATCGAAGTAGCAAAAAAGCATTAACGCAGTTGTGGTGTGGAGCATATTTGCAGTAGAATTGCAGCATAGCCTACTGCAATTCTACTCCAAAAAGTACATAGGTTTGTACAGAGAGAAGCATTAATGCAGTAGATTAGCAGCATGATAGAAGCATGTTTCAAATATGCTAATTAGCTCCCAAATCGAAGCAGATTTGAAGCATGTTTGCAGTATGATTGCAGTAGTCTACTGTGGTTTTCAGTATGATTGCAGTAGTCTACTGCGCTGGAGTATCTACTGCGTTTTCTTGCGGGTATTTTCGGTATTTTTGTGATAATAACCTCGAATACAAACGTTAACCTTTAGTGCACCTTTTACGCAGACAGAATGTTACATATGAAATGAGAAAAATGCCCACCAAACGCCAAAAACAGAATTGAACAATAAAATCATATTTGGGGGAAGGCTTAGTGGCATTTAGGTTTTCTCAATGAAACATATAACCAGGTAGAAATAAAGTCTCACGTTGATGATCAATGATGAAAGTTAACGAACGCGGTATGGACGTATAATTTTGATTTCAATTTTTTAAATATAGACAGTGACAGCACGGTTATGTTAACTGATAAAGGCATTGAGTAAAATACGCGATAGAGCAGAGAGTAAGGTACTTACGGACTCTTTCATTTACTACACAGCTTCCGCCTGACTCACCCCCCAGTGGCCGATGCCGTCGCCCCGCTGTGGCTGTCACTGAGCTAGGGCTAGCTACAAAACAACTTTACTCTCATTACAAATGTAAAATACATATTCATGTTTGTGTGTGTGTGTGTGTGTGTGTTTAATTTTAAACAACAGTGCTATATATAAAGGAGGTATGATGATAAAGGGTGATCGTGATGATAGTGAGACAATAATGTTTCATTAAACTTTTAAGTGTCAAGAGTTAAGGGGTTGGCTACTGGGCTGAGATAAGCGTGTACATGTCCCAGTATAGCCAATCGGTCATTATTGCCATGTCGAAGTATATTGTTCTATTGACACTACTAGTATTACTTGTGATTAGTTTGGTTGTCAGTGAATGTTTTGCTGTTGTCTGGGCTTGGCAATTTATTCTACCTATTAGTTTACAAAGGGTTAAATTAACACGAACATTAAAGGCTACATGTATGCTTCATGATACATGCAGATGTAGTAAACGCTATAGGACCTACATATATAGGACCTACGTTCATCGCCATTATGTCAACTGGACTCAACCCTGATGTCAATAGAGACAAAATGTTGTTATTCTATCACTTAAAACTCAACCGTGATAACGCGAGAGGGTAAATGTCGAACTGCGAGAAATATTTTAACTCCCCGTAACTTTTCAGCTAGAAAACATATGGCAAACAGTCTTTGTACTTTGCTTATGAATTGGTGACTTTCTAACCGAGAAAAGATTAGATTATTGAGCAATCAAGACTTCTAGGATACATGCGATTTGATAATAATTAGTTAATCTAATGTTCACCCAAGAAATAAAACGATAAATTAAATGAAGGGTTCCCAGTCAGATTAATACAAAGCTATAAAATCATTCTCAGGTAGTGAAAGTTACTTATACAGGGTCTTAGGGTCTATTTTTATAAAGTCTTACACCCCATTTCCATAGATTAGATCGACCTACTTTACATCGACCTAACTCCCTGGGGGTTCACGCTTAATAGCTGTCAGCCGGGCGGACACGAAAGTTAATTACCCCTTATAGCTTGTAGTAGGCGGGGACGGACACTTAAGGGGGATTATCTGACAGTAATCTAGTGAGACTCCCCGCGGTGATAGATCGATCTAAAGTTGTGGGAACAGACCCTTACACACTAGGATGGGGTAGGCGGGGTAGGGGGTAGTACATAGTAACAAAAAGTGATAAGGATGGAAGAGGGTAGAATGACATGCACCTAACACCATGGCTAGTGTACCCCCTCCCACTCCGCCACACACTCACCCACCAAATTTGACTATTTATTCTAATCATTAATTTAATAAGGGCTACCATAGTCATTTACTCCCTGATGATGGTGACTGACAGTCACAGAAATATTGGAGGTAATACCCACATATTTTACAAGCTCTTGACAAAAAGAAAAACAATAATTTGAATTTATACATACAGAGCTAATGAAACTGTTCTCTAATAAGGGCTACATTAGCAAGTAAATAATATGCTTCATACTAGATGTTTACCCAGGTATCGGTATTGTCTTTTTGTAACGCTGGGTCCTTAGTTACCCGGTATGCGCAGCCGGACATCAAAAGGGAATTCCCTATCATACAATTTCAGCCAGCAGAGAAGCGTTTTTATTTACAGCTGCTCAACAAGAACCCCACCCCCACCTACCCTCTACTGGGCAATTGACTGTTTTGATTGCTGTCAGGGGGATTTGACAGGGACTTGCCAAGTGACAGTGCCTTAGTATCAGTAGTTATATTCAAACAGTTACCAACCATGCAACCATCCTTGAGATTTCTGCACAGGGTCTCAGCACAGAGATTAGCCACCTGCTTAACGAGATACATATCTGTTAATATTTAGTGAAAATCTTGTGGACCTGTCAGAGGGTAAACCTCACCCTTTCTTTGTAGCATGTTTGCATTGAAAGATCAACAGGAAAGGAAACAAACAGCAAAGTTGAAAGGGTGGTTAAAAGGTAAATAAACGCCACTGCGGCTGCAGTTCTATTGACTTTGTTTTTAGGTTTGCAATGCAGCGTTCTGTAAGCATGCTCTACAGTAAATATTGCAAAGAGAGTACAACAAACCGTCATTATTCTTATTATAAAAGTTAAACAGTTCTCATCATATTTGTTTATTATTATTATTATTATTATTATTATTATTATTATTATTCCTTTTTATCGTTTTCCTTGTTATAGTTTTAATCTAAATAAAAAAAAAATGAGAATCGGTGCCTTTTAATAGTTAACATCTTCATAGCTACAGGAGTTGTTTCTTTTACCGGTTAGTGTACCGGCGGGTGGCACTTTGAATATGTCTTTAACCAATGCCACGGGTATCCATGCGCAGACCGGAGTGTGGCCTATTTGCATATTGGGGATCCCCCGTATCACTCTTGTGTGTAAGTGCGTATTCATCCAGTTTATCGAGCATCAGAGATTTCTAAAAAAATAAAAAATCACCAAGTCTGCGGACACATACCCGGTACATCGGTGATACATGTACATAGATGTTTAGCAGAAACAGGCGTTAAGGTGCTGCTGTTTCTGACAACGGAATTTTTATCACTACTGCTAAATTACACTAGTACTATTACAGTTTGTTTTATCAGCTTTGGGCAAGAAGAACAAAATCACGCACGGGTATCTGGTGAGTAACATGTCTTTCTCATACTATAATTCCAGTATGATCATGTGACAGTCGATTTTAAAATTAAACATATTCAAGATATTTAAGAGTAACGTTATGCATGTCATTCAATCAGCCCTTTAAAGCTGAATAATTAGACTAGGAAACAAATACAGTAAACAATTAAAAATGAGATACATTTATTTGAATGTTTCTAGAGTTTATGTTAATTGCATATAATTCAATACACGACAATTGACATCCATTTACTAAATTATATAAGCATTACTATTGTTATTTATAATTATTATATAGGTAAGATTCTGGTATATTTATGGAAGACTTAATATCAATAAGCGTGCGAAGTTCCTACGAGAGTATCTTGATAAAGTCCAATCCAGCTCTATACATCGATTCCAATGATCGAAAAACAGTAAACAAAGCTCTACCACTGGTACTGTACTGTACCTACAGTAGGAATGTGAAGTACTTGATATTAAAACATTAAGATATTTCATATCACAGTGTCAGTTCTGTTACGCAGGTTATGTCTAATATATAATCGCGTGCCTGTATATAGAGAAAACACTAAATTAAGCTATATACGTTCGCACAGTTCCCCTAATGGACGCTCTACATATAGGACAACTTCTTAGCGCAGGCGCACACTGTGCACAGGAAACTAAGTGACCACATGGTAGAAATACTACGCTGACTTCCTCGTCCATGCAGATCTTACACGTCCTTTGTTCTTTAAGACGCTGGTTCTCCTCTATGAGAGATTTGGCTTCTGAAATGTAATAAGATGCCAGGAAATCAAATATTAGGTAAATAATGCTAATGCGCAAGTTTAATCTCATACTCTGGTAATCACTATTTATATATGATTCATGTAAAATAAAATAGCATATTCGTACACCAAGCTATACTTTCTATGCTTCTGTTTCTACCAAGCAGAGATACCAGAACGTCTGTAGGATCTTTACTGTCTGTGTGAAATTCAGAGAACAAACAGATAAGGACGGCTACTAGTAGGTTGTTACAGTGTATAATCAAGGAGCTCTAATGCGCCTTGGTACAATATTGNTCCACTGACCTGGCTCTCCCGGAGTGACACTGGTAAACTGCACGGGTGTGAAAAATAATGTTAGCTGTCACACCTGCATGTATTATTTCAGTCGGGATAAGAACGTTCAGCCGACGCGACAGATGGGCATGTGTGAAAAACTATGTTAGCTGCCCTGCTTCCAAACCTTTACTGTTAACATAGTTTTGGTGTATTTTGTTGGTTAATAAATGATAACCACGTAGGGAATTCATCTTCAAACAAATATCCTTCAATTCGTTCTTTGTTCATTTTTACAAAATAGTTCAGACAAAGCGATCGAGTAAATGTAAGTAAGCGGATAGCCGAAACGAATATGGCTTTCTGAGCCTCGACGCAAGTGACGTCACTCGCCTCAAAGCGCCACCACGCGGGAGTATCGTAAACTACATTCACACCTGCATAAAATCGGCTTTAAAAACTAAATAAACGTAAGAACTTTTTTTTTCATTACTCAAAAATAACTTTTGGGCACCCAATGGATAGTTTTAACCCGTTTTTTCATCACAGTATACCTTTAAGAGTAACGTTATGCATGTCATTCAATCAGCCCTTTAAAGCTGAATAATTAGACTAGGAAACAAATACAGTAAACAATTAAAAATGAGATACATTTATTTGAATGTTTCTAGAGTTTATGTTAATTGCATATAATTCAATACACGGCAATTGACATCCATTTACTAAATTATATAAGCATTACTATTGTTATTTATGGAAGACTTAATATCAATAAGCGTGCGAAGTTCCTACGAGAGTACCTTGATAAAGTCCAATCCAGCTCTATACATCGATTCCAATGATAGAAAAACAGTAAACAAAGCTCTACCACTGGTACTGTACTGTACCTACAGTAGGAATGTGAAGTACTTGAGATCAAAACATTAAGATATTTCATATCACAGTGTCAGTTCTGTTACGCAGGTTATGTCTAATATATAATCGCGTGCCTGTGTATAGAGAAAACACTACAAAATTAAGCTATATACGTTCGCACAGTTCCCCTAATAGACGCTCTACATATAGGACAACTTCTTAGCGCAGGCGCACACTGTGCACAGGAAACTAAGTGACCACATGGTAGAAATACTACGCTGACTTCCTCGTCCATGCAGATCTTACACGTCCTTTGTTCTTTAAGACGCTGGTTCTCCTCTATGAGAGATTTGGCTTCTGAAATGTAATAAGATGCCAGGAAATCAAATATTAGGTAAATAAGACGAAAGCAAGGAAATCAAATATTAGGTAAATAATGTTAATGCACAGGTTTAATCTCATACTCTATTTATATATGATTCATGTACAATAAAAATAGCATATTCGTACACCAACCTATACTCTCTATGCTTCTGTTTCTACCAAGCAGAGATAACAGAACGTCTGTAGGATCTTTACTGTCTGTGTGAAATGCAGAGAACAAACATATAATGACGGCTACTAGTAGGTTGTTACTACAACCTACTAGTAGCCGTGTACACTCAAAAAGTGTACACTCAAAAAGCTCTAATGCGCATTGCTATAATATTGTACCGGTACGTACCTTCGTCATTTTCGCCGACAGTCGTTTTGGCCTCTGTACTTTTTTGCTTCTTCTTTCCTCTCTTCTTTTCCTCTTTAGCTACAGAAATTAGGAAGAGCACAGTAGTGAAGAATTGTAGACATACCCTGTATTGTTTATCTAGAGTTATTTTGGGTGAACTGTTTTTAATCAACATTGAGCATTTACGATTATATGAGAACAAGTGCATGTAACATGTGGCTTCTCTAATATTACTTTACACTATGGACACATATTTTATTTATTTATTTTTAAATTTTGATATTAAAATGCCATACCAGGCTTTGGAGTCCGACTGGGTGAGAGGGTGTCCTGGGTGGGTTCAGCAACACCTGACGGAGTCTGTTCACGCCCCTCTCCTGGCGTCTGCCTCTCCTCATAGGACAGAATAGCTTCAAACAGGCTCTCGGCGTTAGGGAAGTCGTCCCCGGTGGTACGCAGTCTGTTCTCAATGACTTTTTTCACTGTGTCCCTGGGATAACCCATCTCCAGGACTGCCTGGACAGTGGGGGTGTCCAGTCTGGCCTTGATTTCACGGGCCTCCACCACGTACTGTCCGGCTGTAATGGACAAAATACATTGGTACATGCATCCAGATATAATATCTTTGCTGGCAAATGTTACAAGTCCTCGACAGTGATAAGCACTAAGGGCAATGAACTACATGTGTGGGGCGTATTCTGACGCATGATTCTGAGCCAAGTTTTTTTCCGAGTTGCAAATGTTTTTAATGAGGTGTATTCTGTGCATCATTTGAGACAGACACAAACGGTTCAGCATTTCAGTCATAGGATTTATTAGACAGTCAAAGAACTAGAGGTAACTAGACAGAAATTGGCTGAAGTAGACAGCCATGACTACGTTGCAAAAGGTTACCTTCTCGTCGCCTAACATTAGTTATGGCTGCTTGGTTTTGAACGGTCAACTGCGGCTGCTGATATATAATAAAATAAAATAAAAGTTATATTCAAAAATATACAAAACGTGGAACGTATTGTCACAAATAGCAAAAGATAATTGAAAGCATAGCAATTCATGTATAAATCGCGTATGTATGTAGTTATAAAAAGACGCTGGAGAGTTTTGTTTCTACCAATATATATACCTGGTAGGCCCTATATATATATATATATATATCGATCGGTTACTTGGAAACATCCACACTGTTCAATGAAATTTACGATATGGCATGTATTAGAACAAATCTCACGCAAAGCAAGAATATTATGCTCTGAAATACAATATAACAGTACAAGAGGCTTCTTTACAATACACAATAATTATGCCCTGGAATACAATGTACAGGATAATAGTACACTTTGTTCTTTAACAATACACTAAATAAAAAAATCTGTTACTCTTTAAGATATAGGTAAATTAAAATATGCACACATATTACGAACACCAGTGAGCTAATTCTTACCGTGTCGGTGCCCTGCCTTGGATACAGCTCTTGAACATGTCGAATAAACTCCTCCCCCTTGCACTGACGGACAAAACCACACCGAGGAAACCAGCGCGCATGCTCAGTCCATGGGTCATCTTGTGGCTCCCAGTTTCTCAATCCCCCATCACAGTAAAAGCACTTCACGTTGTCTGAAAATCCTGTGCATGACAAAAATAAATTTAGATATTTACCTTTAATCTCTTCATTTGCGAATTCATACTGATATACTAGTAAATTATATTGGATAAAATCGTCAAATACTTTAGGCCTAAGACCATCTGCAGCCGAAAAAAGTAATGTTCGAGCAGATTTCACGTACGTACTTTTAAATAACCTTGGGATAAATACCTTTTAAAGACTCTGAAATACTTAAAGAATCTTTAAAGGCGTTTGCTTTTAACTGAACATTGCCATTGCCATCGCGAACTTTCATTTAATGTAATTTGGAAAAGTTTGTTTGTTTTTTTTTTTAAGATACCAGTATATGACAATAAATTGCATACACTAGTATAGCTGCATGGTTTAAACAAAATAGTATCAAAATAAATGCCAAATTATGCCGTACTAATAGTGCGTATCTTACCAGCGTAGAAGAAGCCGGCCTTAGCCAGGTTGACAGGGTTTTGAGCCCAGTGAGCAGACCAAGTTGCAAACGTTTTTTCTCGTACACTTTCGATTGCGAACCTTTGGTGCTTTGGTTTGTCTGTTAGGATTCCAAGGTCTTGTCCATGAAATATAGCTGGTGAAAAGTAAAGAATCACTTTGAAGATCAAGTGAATGACGATGAAGATAAACGCATGCTGTATGGAAAAATACCAACACTCGACCAAAAAAGTTCGGAAACCGAATTCAAATTGTTTTTCAATAATTAAAAATCATGTAACATAGGGGGAAACCTGCGATGCATATTAATTAAAGTAAAAATGGTGCGTGCATCATCTTGGTTAAATAAATTTACCTTAACAAACGTGGTTATTTTGTTACTATTAGAATTACAGTGTTTCCGAACCTATGTGGTCGAGTGTATATGTACTGTCAACTGAGTTATGCAAGCTGACGAAGAGATGAAGCAGTATACACGAACAACCCGACAGCCACGAAGCTATATACTCACGAGCGCCGCCGTGAGGTGCAGAACTTCCGTCTGAGCCACTACCAGCGACCGATGCTGGCGCCCCACTGCGGCTGGTACTGTGGTTACCATTCCCCACCACAGTTCCGAGAACCAACTGACAGGTCGGGAACAGGCGGCGGTGTTCCTGCATGGGCTGATCACCTACGGGTGAAGAAAAAACATGATGCTACATTACCATGCCTCTTACTTGTTATATATACTATTATATATTTCTATGTATAAAACCATATGGCAATGACATGTTATACTAATCAATGTGCATCAGAGTGTTTCGAAATTGACTTAAGAAGATTACCAAGGAAGGCAGATTAAACAGAAACTCACACATAGCCCTACACATAAATACATAGCCATGTGTGCACCCATACACACACAAGATTACACACGCGTGTGTGTGTCCTCAAAAATGCAAAGGTGTGAGGTGACGGCTGCCCAGTAGATATATTTCGCCTACCTAGGTCCCAGTTCCGTAGTATCCCAGCACAGAATGCACATTTGACACTGTCTCCGGTCCCCGTGTAGAAAAAACCCGCGCTGGCGAGATCACGTGGTCGGACGTGTGCAGCTATTGACCAATGGGCGAACGTCTTCAACCTTTCTTCTTCGCTTTTCATTCGCTCCGACTCACCAATACACGTAGATATTTCACTCCGGAGAGAGGCTTGATAACCCGCATTGCCGACGTTACTCGCCTGCTGATTGTGGTATAATGACGAAGTTGACATTTGAGTTATAGCGTCCGATAAACTAAAGCCTAAAGATCTTGTCAGCGCTTGCTGGCTGGACAGCAGCAGGTTGCTCTCTCGAGACACAGGGGGAGCTATGGCGGGTCCTTCTCCCGCAAGATTAGGAAACGGGTCAAAGTCTGCTCCAGTTGCACCATTTCTCGAGGTGTTCTCGTCTTCGGTCTCAAACAGAGGTACGTTGTTACTCTCCAATCCCCTCACGTGCCGACAGTCGGGGAAGAAGTTTTGGTGTAGCTCTGCAGGGCTAATTTCCCGAGTCAGCTGCTTGAGGTGACCACCGCAGCTGTAGCAGATCACCTACAGTGAACAAAAGAGAATAATACTCCAATAAGAGAAGAAAGAAAAGAACTAAAGCATCAGGATACTGTTGGAATCAACTCTTTGTGGAATGTATAGTTGAGCTTGAGATGGATGAATGAAAATGAGGGAATGAGCAACTGAAGATTTCCATTATTAAAAAGTTGGACATATTCATATGTACACAGCAAATCTTTTTCATAAATGAATAAATAAAATAAACAAATAAAATAAACCTCATCCGCTTGGCCAGAGTAGAAGAAGCCTGCTCGTGCCAACCTTGTTGCAGGGACTGCCGCCCATTCCGGCCAATTCCTGAAACTCGCCAGTCTCACTGCCTCCGAACTATTCCTGTCACCGGTAGGGGGAGCTGATCTGTTAGTCGTCCGCGGGAGGACGGTGCCACCATGAGCTGGATATGTGTGGAATATCCTGCCTGCTGGGATAAAATTTCTAGAGTAGCGAAGAAAATCTTTTGGGAATGAGGCTCGAAATGTACCATCTTTATCATGTGCTGTCTTTTCTGGCCTGAGGACATACCCAAGCTGCCCGAGAATTTGGCCTTCGTGGGTGCAATAATCGAAGTACTGCTCCACCTTTTCACGGATAACACTTTCAGATAAACCGACAGAAAACAGTCCTCTGGACTTGGGTACGCCCACGTCAACATTTTGTTGTGAGCTTAGACAGATGGGATACTGAGGATCAAGTTTCAGAAGATCGTTGCTGCTTTCATAACAGTTTTTGGTCGATTCTGCCTCGTGTTTTCCTTTAGCATCATGACAGACCAGATAAGGAAGGGGTGTTGGGCTGTATTTAATATTATTCAAGTTATTGTTCTTTTTTGACGCTGTCATGGACGCATTTGGAAAGCATGTATCGCCGAAACCCAGGCCTGGATGGCCTATTAAACGACCAGAGGGGGGTACAGGTTCAAGACGAAACCGAAGCTGGTTTTGAACACCTCGTGCTAGGGGGGTTCCACGAATATCTACCCTAAGTGTCGTGCCAAGAACGCATGGAATAACACAAGCTGGGGTTTTCCTGGGGATAGGGATATCAAGTCGCGAGCTGTCTTTGAGAACCGCGGAAAAATATGGGTGAAATTGATTTTTCGGCAACTCCACGGCTTGGGACGTGCGACGGCTGATTAGGGCCACCCTTTCCCTTAAACCGATCCGACCTCCTTGGTGAACCTGTACCCGAATCGGTGGCCCCCCTCTCAATCGTTGCGCGGATGAAGAAAGAGTCTGTTTATGTATAAATATATTTCGTACAGTTTGCCATCTATATTTACACGTACGAGTCAATGGGTTTCGGGAAAGGGAGGTTAAAGTTTGCAATTTAACATATAAAGATGTCCTTGAGTATATAGGATTAGGAGCTATGGGCGTGGTTGTGATTATATCAATTAACCCTTGCTTTTGTTCATCTATAAAAGCATCTTCAGATTGGTCATGTTTTGTTGTGGAAGAGAAAATATGCTGAGCAAGGACAGCTTTAACCCAGCTTTCGTTTTTCTTTGTGTGGCAGCATACTACAGTGGAAACTGCTGCAGGGGCATTCAATTCAGAACTCTTTCGGTGTGATTCACACTGTACTTGCGGTGGGGGTGAGGCATGATCTTCACGGCTTTTCCGCTTTTCTGGTCTCCACACAGTGGCAAATGTGGTTTCGGTGCAGGATGTGGTTTCTCTTTTAAATGTATCATTTTTACAAAGGACGCTGAAAAACATTAATCAGTTATACTGACTGAGTCGTTAGATGGAAAATTCCCAACAGGATGTTGTATTCAGATTAAAGGTGGACACATATAAATATTATTATAAGGCGTCCTTTGGTGTAGGATTTTAAGGTGTTCTATAGGAATCCTACAGGACTGTAAAGGACGCCCTACACGGCTCTTGTATGAGCCTATGAGAAAAAAAATGTAAATGGAAGTCTTTAAACATCAATAAACTACGATCTAAATATGACTGTGAAAAACGGTCTGGTATCAGGATTAGGGCAGTTGTACGAATCGATGACTATGTCATACTACTTCGTACTAGTGCAAAGACACCAGCCTGTAGAAGACAAAATGTTTAATATGAATGTAGAGAAATACATTTTGTAGATAACCTACCTTCCCCGAAACCGTCGATATACTCCAGTCGTGTTCAGTACACACACGGCGTAATATGCCTCCCAGCCTGAATACTTTACAATGACGTACCACAGCAACAAAACAAGACACAGCGCGAAATACAGGTACAAGCCCCTGAAATAATACAATTACTCCACACATAACCATACCGATGATACACATTGACTGATGCCCCCAGAAAGGAAACTTGGGTGCTTGGATTTAGATACACATATATATATATCAATGATAAATAAATAAATATATAAATATATAAATTAGAGCCCTTATGAAAAAATTAAAATGAAACGAAGGAAAAACATAGTAAGTGTGTGTACAAACTGCGTGGAAGAAATCCATTTGCTCTAAAATGCAGGGGAAATATAGCTAGCTTTCTTCACACAGCAGAAAAAAAGGAAGCAGTTTACTACACACTGAGCGTCTCAGCGAAATGTTAGTGTTAGTATTGTTGTCGTCTGCCAAAAAGTCCTAAACAGACGTGTTGTAAATGCTAGCCCATGGAAACCCTGTTAACATATTGTATGATTTAGACTCGTATTGACAGTTTTACATAGCTGATGGCGCCACACACATCAGTATTCTCAACAATGACCCTTATAACAGATTACAAACAGCAACAACTGAAACCAAATTTGCCGCAAACTGGTAGCAATATTTTTCTTGCAAACTCGTTGCCACAATATTGCTGCAAACTTTTTGCTAAGGGTATGCCACAGCACCAAAGCCTCGCGATATCCAAAACTTGCGAGAGTTCGAGCATAAAAATGGTCTCCGAACTTGAAAAACATCGCATTTATAAGCGTGGGTTTTGATTATCTAATTTTTCCAAAATTGTTAAGGAGTTGTGGCGAGTGTCAAGAAAGTAAGTTTCAAGGTTGGTTAGTCGCAGGAAAGTGTCATTAACCCCGGGGTAATTCGTTAAATATGAATTGGCGCAGGTGATCCTCTTTTGTGTACCTTTGGGAAATGAGTATCGACAACGACGAAATAAATATAGTATGCTGTCTAGATATATTCTTAAGTGGGTTATAAAGCAGACACAAACTGTTTTATGGGCGTTCAAGCTGCATGTGAACTAATACACAAAACTAGCAAACACAGTTACTATACAGAGATAAAGCTACATGCAAACAAATACACAAACTGGCACAGGCAGTACAGAGATTAAGCTGCAGTGACACATGAACAAATGCAGACAGGTACATACATAGTTTACAAAGACAATACATATACTCACTCATTCCGTCTATCACAAAATGCCTCTGTTCCACAACCTATGCTGTTCATCCTCTTGATCAAGCAGTACTATTCTCAGTGTCCAAACTGTTTTTACAAACATTATTGAATCATTTACTTTGAGACTGTTAAAACGTCCAACTTTCATCTTATACCAAAAAGGCATACATAAGCACAATAAATAAATAAATAGATAAATATAATATTTATATCTAGAGTATATACGACATGAAATAAGAAATGACATGCAATTGAGAAATGGTAGTTGGCTGAATGTTTGCTGTGAAAAGAAACTGAACATTAAGAAAGGTGCTTGTAATATACTTTAAATCAAACATTGTATTGAATGTCAATGGAGATAAATAATTATTTAGTGAATTTTACCTTCGTTGTTGTCTTCACAACCGTAGTGCCCTGAAAAAATGACATATATATAAACTGCATTATTGTTGCCAGTGGACGATTCAGTAATATGGATATTATAATAAATGAGCACAGCTAGGTTAAAGGGATAATAACTCTTCGTATAAGATCTATATTTTACAATAAAACATTGTGAATAACTCATAGAAATATAATATATTCTGTTTTACCACAAAAACGGCAGTTATAGCTATTATTCTGATATCTGAACTTGTCTTTAGACCACGTGACCTCCACTGGTGGCTATACTCTGTTAAAATCTCTTGAGAGATTTTAACAAAAAAAAAAAAACAAACTTTTTAGAAAAAAAAACAGGGACTTACTTTGAATGTAAAAATGGATTCATTAACCATTGGTAAGTATGGGGAAATTGTTGTTTACTCCAGGAAATTCATTTTTTGGCAGAAACTAAGAGTTATTATCCCTTTAAATTTTGTCTCACCGCTGGCTTTTGGCCAACCTGATCGGAGGCCATCAGACAGGTCAGACACTAGATGCTGTCATTCACTTACGACAAGATAGAATGGAATGATATCCTTAAGAAACAGTGTCTGAGAGTGTCCAATAGGTTCATGGAGACATGGGAATATCCCTTTTACAGTAATAAAACTGACAAGTCATTTATCAATGCGTTATCTTTACCTGCAGTCAGCTGGGGAGATTTGTTTCACTCTTATAAATTGCTCACCTGTTCAACGTTGCTTTTTTATCCAAATGTTTGATTTGACTTTCTACATTGCACCTTTGCTGATAGCTAAGGTGTGTCTAGTAGTCTAAGTAAATTAGTTTGGGATTTTTCTAGCTAGTGGTAAGTTTATGGGAACACTTAATTAAGAGCTTCACGGACGCTTTTTCAGGTGTATATAAATAAATATATTTTCAGCCGACTTTGTTTAGTTTATGACAAGTTAACAAGCGTTTCCTAACAACGAAATTTTGTTTCTCAGCACTAAGTGCTGATACATGTAGTTTGGGCCCCATTCGCACCTCACCCAAACCCAATATAGAGGTGCATTTCACAGGTTGAAGTGTCAAAAAATAAAAATGAATGAATGAATTCAAAATTGTATTCAATATTTCAAAACAGATGTGTATAGAACAAAAACCCACGACTGTCTCAACTGAAATTCAATTTTTTCATTTTCACCATATCTTTAACATTACGCAAAGAGCCCTATATGGTAACGTATGTTCCAAAAAACGTACGGTAACGTATGTTCTTGCCATCTAATTTTCATTTTTATGCCACGTTCCGATATGTATTTTAGTGGTTCAGTCATGGTAAACTAGACATGACATAAGGACGTTTTTATAAATATTTAAACTGTATTTCAAGGGGCTTTGCGTCATGGCTTATAGTAGGTAACGTATGTTCTCTAGAAAATTTGTCAAAATGTTTCATTTTGTTCAAGTACTTGTGTGCAAGAGATACAATGTTTTCTTTTGCTGACCGAACAATATATTGTGGTTCCATGATAGTTTGACATTTCTGATATAA